TTTTTTATAAACAATGAGCGACGGATAAAACCTTCATATTATTATTCAGNGAGGTGACCTTGATAACATATGTCAAAATTGTTGAGATCGGAAAATAGTCCGTATAACTGCATAATTACCAAATAAAACAAGAATTAGAGACGGAAACTATTTTTGTTTCTACATAAAAGTTATACAAAAAAAATTATACAATATTAAAATTATAAAAGTGTTATACAAAAAAAATTATAAAATACATAATAAAATACATAATAAAATTATAATAAATATTAAATAATATAAAAGCTATTACGCAACTAAATATCTCTTCGATATTATTTAATTAATTCGTGAAGTGTGTCACATCGCAACAAATAAATTTATTCGCTCTCTTCAACTCTGTTGAAAGAAATGTACACGATGTACAAAGCTTCGTTCGCACTCTCGGAGGTTTTTTTTTTTTTTTAAACTAATATATCTCTATGTTCGACGGGAACGCGCGGAACGTTCGCGCATACATTTTGCTCTCGGCCTTTTACGTTTTTTTTTTTTACACCACAGACCGGGGAATTGCTCCAATTGGCCGGGCATTTATTTTCGAACGTCTTTATTTTCTCTGCGCGCATCGTAAAAAGGGCGGGACGTTCGCATTAACGTTTTACAACTGTAAGGTACGGAACCGGCGGCGTACGACCGCGCGGCGGGAAGAAACACCGCGTGTGCGCAAAATTATCGTCATCGTAACTCGCGGACGAACCGCGCGATGTATTACGACCGGTCACGACATATTCAATCTCCGCCGGCGGCTTATCGTCCGAAAAACGAGCTTCGTGCCGTGTACGGCTTCAGAGTTTCAAGGTTTCGTTGAATTGGATATTTAAAAACAAAATTATCGTTCATAAAAACACATGTCGTGTGGCTTTTTTCAATTTTTTTTAAGTACTTTTCTAAAAATAACATTTTCGAGCACAAAAGCGCAATAATTGTTGCGTGAGTTTTTTTTAACAGAAATATGACACTTGTGTTAACAGTTCACGTCGACGTGCAAACGAGATATGTGCTTCTTGCAATCACGCTTGTACAATGTGATGTACGCACGAGGAGGAGATGATTTGATCTGTTTTTCCTTTTTTCGCGTAAATATTACGTTACTTATTTTGACAATGGAAACTTGCAACCGGATCTCGTTTCGCTTCGCACAGTCCTCGCATGTAAGAGATCCTGTTTCTGCGTCGGTGAAACTCGTATACGTCACACAAGAAGCGTCACACTCTGTGTCGCGTTTATACTCGGACAGAAAATACCGTCCGGTTTCGAAACGCGTCAATCTTATTTCTAATTACGTTGACGTTCGGTTTATCTTAGATAGAACTTACGGCACACGCAATCACACACAATCAACTTCGTCGCGGCTTAAAATTATATAACCGTACACACAAAGCACTCGTCCCGTGAGAGCACGTTGCGCTTTTGTGCGTACGACGCGCACAATCTCTCGCTTATCGCCAATGCCGCCGCGTAAATGGAGAAGAATGCACATGTACTGGGTGTTCCGAAACGCCGAATTAATTTACGAGATTAATTTTGAGCAAACACAATTTTGTTTTTATAGTTATAATTAATGTCTAATTATTACATTAGACATTTAAAAAACTAGGATTAACACATCGTAATTTTTTTTTATTAGAGATTTAAATAATTTCACCCTTCGTGAACTGACATGGGTCTCCCAGACCCATTCAAAAATTGCGCGTCGGCGCTTGAATGAAAATAGGTTTTTTTTAAACGCTTATATCTTTGAAACTACTAGAGGTTGTTTCAATTTTTTTTATCGATCAACGCAGAATTGTTTAAACTTTTGATTAAAACAAAAAAAATTTTTAAATATTAATTTTTCGCGAAGATGTTTATAATTACATAATTTAAACAACTAGCATAACACAGGCGCGCGTTACGCGCACGCTATTAATGTTTTTATTTTACCGTGTTGTGTCAGTGAACACAACCTGTCGCCGCGATAACAGCTAGTATATACGTCTTACAGGCCATATACACATACACATTAGAGAGATGTCAGAAATAATGAAAATCAAAATCAAAAAATAGCGAGAGAGAAAAACAACAACGTGACTGAAGTCACGTGACTGTACTTTGATTGTTTACACGCGTTTTTTCTGATAGAATTATATATTTCTGTTATATTTTGCTGCACTTGTCAATAAAAAAAAAAAGTTCGTCGTCAATCGTCTGTGTTTGGGGATACCGTCGATTTCTCATTAGATTATTACGAACGTTACAATTAACCACATTTGTCTCACGTAAGAATTGAGATCGCGAATTCAAGGAACACTCTGTATGTTGCGTCTAAGAGGCTTTGCATAAGAGCGCGCGCTGGTAACCCGAGACTCTTGTGCGAGGGAACCATTTAAACCGCTGACCGTAAACAGAGAAGCTCGGTAGAAAGGCTTGGCGGGCACCCCGGTCGTTCTTGCAAGGGCGTTAATTACGGGGCTGCTTTCGGTTTCTTCTCCCTCGGTCGATTTCCGTTGCCGGAAACCGAGTGCCTCTTCTCTTTGCCGTAGAGCAAAGGAGTTTAAACGGGTCGAGCGTCGAGTGCTGCGCGCGCGGCGACCATTTACTCCTCCGGGGTATTACACGTACACCTAAAGTGGTTAATGCGAATAAAACACGAGCCGTGGTTTCTCTATTCCGCGCCGAGAAAACCATCACCACCGGTCGTCGTTAATCCGCGCGGTCTGCAAATATTTCTATACGCATTCTCTAAGCTTCAATTTGGCGCATCGCATCCAATGTTTTGCGTGCGCGCAAGTTAACATTGGATAAATTGTAGCCCGATGTTTTAAGACACGTTGTTACATATATTCAATCTTTTTTCACAAGCTGAGAGTAACTTGTTGCGACTTTACGTTGTAAAGACTCGTTCGGGGCGAGTCAACTTCGACTGTCACATTCGTCTTCGTAAAATTAGCCGTGTTCAACTTTGCTCCGGTATTCGAACGGTCGTGTAAGACGGTCGTACGTAAGCGTGTGCGTGCGTGCGCGCGGGCGCGCGCGCGTATCGCGTTACTCGCTCAATGACGGATGCACACACAGCGAGACCGAACTATATCGGAGCAACTATGTAATCATCGCAAGCGCGGTGGTTTCAGCTTACCTTCGGCGGTGCGCGGCCAAATTACCGGCCGCGTACTCGAAACACGACACGCCAATTAGCATTAAGGTCTAGACGCGCACTCATGAGAATTATTATTCGATTCTGTTTCAGACACGTCGTACGAGAAGGCTTGTCGAAGGGGCAGCGCGCCCGCCACTCCCGTGCTCGGCGCGCGACCCTTGGATGTCACGCCGAACAGGATCGTTGTGAGTAAAATTCGATTACCCGCGTATAGAGTAATAATTCGTTAACGCGTAATTGGACGCCTCGCTCCTCCCGGATGCCTCGGATGTCATTTTGCCATTTTCGCGACGCGTGTTGGGAGAACATCGGAGCGGCGTTGTTTTATTAATTATTTTTAAGCCTGTTTTTTTTTCTCTCCGCGCGACATGTAGACATTTATCGATTTTACATTATAGCGTTGAATTTAATAATCGAGAAAAATTGTTATCTTTTGCTAAAAGTATTAAGTTTGGAAGAGGAGAAAAATTTTTTTTTTTACAGAAACTTTTCAACCTGATTGTTAACGCAACTTTTCGTTTCGTCTCTCGCGCGCGCTTTAATATTCAGCCTCGTAACACGAGACGTTCCGTCAGAGATATATACACCGGAGGATTTGCGGCCTCGTGAATGGGAATCGATTTTCCGAGATGAAAGACTTCCCTGCAAAGAGAGAGAGAGAGAGAGAGAGAGGGGGGGAGAGCGAGCACATAGTTCACGTTCCTGCTCGCCGGGCTAACTTAATGCTCGGCGCGCTGAATATTCACGAGATACCGCCGAAACCGGCCGCGTGTGTCCGTGGATTCTCGCACATACGATACGTGTAATTAGTTCGTTACGTCGGCAACCCCCGTGCATAAATCCTCCCCCGACGACAAGGCGATCTCATTTTCCACGGTGTCTGGCGTTAACCGATTCCCCGGCTATACTTAACGCAACTCCCCATCGCGCGCGGCGCGCTGCTTTTGCGTCCGACAATTTCACAACGTTAATTTAATTTAATTGAACGAGGAGGATGGGATCGTTTATCGTCACGGGATTATATCTGCCTGCCTTTTACCGTCGGTATTATCGGCCTGACAATCGACGCTCCTGTAATGATGGAGATATATATATATATATATATTATAAATGCGCTCGCACACGATGAGGCGGCGGCGGCAGCAGCGCGCGAGCGAGTCGAATTTTCTCCAGCGGGAAAAGCGTCCACGCGATCTCACGTGGGTTTTCGCGATTAGCGGCCGCGCGTTATCGTCAAGTTCGATCGTTACTCTCCGCGGAGAGGTAACGCCGCGTGAAACATTTGAATGATACACCCGCTTTGCGCTCACGGCACATTTGGCGCGAAATGTGGCGTCCGGAGGTTTTATTTGATTAACGTGAAAGCAAAAATACCAGACGATTGCTGTAACATACCAAATGTAATTTCTGTTTTTTCAACGTGAAAGCGACAATTGAATCTGCAGTGATCATTATTAAACTCGCAGTTTGTCTCGCTCGTTTCAGAAGATAATTGAATAAGATAATTTTAAAAACACCAGCTTTTTCTTATGTTGTTTTAAATCATTAAATTTGTGCGTTTAATTAGTTTCGTGATTACACTTTGTTTCTTTTCTGGCATTAAAAAAAAATATTTTGCAGCAAAATATTTCTCGCGATTGACACAATGGTGTTTGAATGAAAATTTTTGAAAATCGACGATCGCGACTTTTCGAAAATAAGAAACTTCGCAATCTCTCGCTTCCGTCTCCGTTCGCCAATCGCGCTTTGTTTGCCGAGCACGAAACCGACATTTCAATCTTCCGATCACGTAGTTGCGATCGCTTCGGAGTTTCTAACTAGCTAGGTATTTGTGTCGGGACGGCAAAAAAAAAACACGTTATCTTCGTATTTTGGAAACGTTCTGTCTATCTTCTATCTCAAATGGCGATAAAAAAAAATTCCTGAGCGCATATCCGATTTTGTACGGAAAACATTTTTATGTTCGAGAATTTATATTACAGTCCGTCTTTCAAACGTGTTGCTTCGAACGGTTTTCTCGTTCTCAAATTTTCACACGAGCAAAATCGACTCAATAAAAAGCGCGCGTTTTTATTTTCGCACGTACCTGTTGTATGTCAAACGTATGTCGGCGCGCGAGATTTTTTATTTCGGCTCTCATTTTGTTTCTTTATTAAATTACACCGTCACATCTTACGAGAACAAAACAAGTTTAGTTTTGAGAACCCATTGCGTTTTTTAGTATGTTCGCCGCTGCACGACAAAGATTTACGCATCTCGCGATCGATCGGAAGGGGGGCCGTTGGGCGAAGGGTTTTAAACGAACAAAAGGACGAGAACGGAGACTGGTTTTCGAGACAGGTCGTGACAACTACGACGTTTCCGGTGGAAGAACGTCGCAGGCTGCCGGTCTCTTACGAGAAGAATTACCGGTTACCGCGTTCCACGTGCGACGAGCTTTAACAAATCCGACCGCGTTTATTCTAAATACCTCGGTAGACAAAAAAAATCGTCAACAAATCGTCAACTTCGAGTTTTTTTTTTTCATTGCTCGCGGACAAATTCATTGAAAATAAAACTTGTGCAGGGACATTTTCAAGAATAATAAACTTGTAACTCTCACAAGTTTATTCGGAATTGGTTTATATATAAAAACGCGGATCGTCTCGTTGAACGTAACGGAGCAACGATCTAACGTTGCGCAAGTGCAACAAGGACAAAGCAGATCCGAGCGATCGGCCGGTGATTTCGCACGTGGAGCACGTTTCACGAAGAGGGCCCCGGTTGATCGCAATCAGCGGGGCGACGCTGCCCGTGTCGCCGATTTGAGAACCCCTCGAAGACGTTTTTGTCCTTACACCGGTGCGCTTAACGGAGGAGCTCGGGAGAGATGAGGGAGAGAGGTGAGGGGGTTGACCCGTTCTGCCTTACCTGAATGTGCAGGGGCAGAGTTTTCGGTCGTGACACAAAGGTGCGCGCCCCAAGGATCCCTTGACTTCGGCTACCCGGATGAGCCAACCAAACAGCTGCGCCAGTCGTCGACGAGATTTCGCCGCGAAATTGTCAGCAACTTTTACTTACTTAGCGAGATCTCGGAAAGAAAGAATTTGCTCGACAAACGTGTCTCTCTTTAAAGTGCCAACTGTCGGACGGAATCTGTGTGCTGTGTCGTACTGATAAATCAATTTGATTCTGTACACAATACACATGTATTGTGAGAGAGACTTTACTCGATAATTAGTAACTTTATTAGCGCGCGACGATTGGATCTAACTTTGCGCCGTGACCTTCGGTCACTCAACATTACCGAAGAGCGTCTCGAGCGGAAGACAACACATTGACACCGACAAAGGATCAAAATTAGAAGTCCGCACTTCGATCGGGCGCTTTGATGAGGCGGCGTAAAAACCATTGACGCAGTCAAGTCAAGAATAATAAAGGCGAATTATTTTTAATTCGAGAAAGAAGTTACGCTCCCGTGCGTACATTCGCGCGCGATTACAAAAATTCGCTCGCTCAAGCGCATTCCGCGACGAGTTTGTCGTCGGCGCGGCGACGACAAGCAGAAAATGACGGAACGTGGTCGTGCGCGCACGACGGTCGTTATCCTCGTCGTCGGTGCATGACGATGCGCTCCCGTCAGCTAGATTGTGAAATCCAATACGGGACGCGCGCGTGCAAAAAGCACGTTGTTCCGATCGGACACGGCGAGTGTTCCGGGAAAGGTGTTCAGACGCGATCGTCGTTGTCGTCGTCGTCGTCGCGCGCGAAGAAGAGAAGACGCGCGTTGCAGCGGCCCGTTTAAAGGGCCTTTTCGATTTTAAATCACCAACCGGAATCCGGGTCTGTGCGAATTCAAGACGGTACGTTGCGGAACTCCGCTCGAATGTCGCTCTCTTTCAAAAACGGCAGGCCGTGCCTGAGCAACGGGCCAGACCCCGGACGAATTCTTCGACTCGTGACGCTGTATTTTCGGGCGAGCAGCTGCTCTCCGAAAAATTCCCGTGAAACGTGAAACTCGCGCCGACCGAAATTCAAGTCCTTTGTTTTTGTGTCTTTTTGTGAATTTTCGTTTTGTCTATTCGTCGGCGACGCGACGCGCATAAGCGGACGATCAGCAGATATTCTAGAAGAGAAGCGAAATATGTTTTTGAAGAAACGAGGCGAAGGAAGAAGAGACTCTTTACGGTTCGACAAATTTGAAAATCTCTCGCCAACTCGTTGGACAACTTATCGTTACGATATTATTCTCGGAGAGTGAGCGAACAATTTATGGAGAGAATATGTCGAAGAGAGCGAGTGCGGTGAGAAATTTAAGAGGAATCGTGAGTAATCGCGTCGATATATATAGCGAGAAAATTACGAAAAAAAGCACCTGGGGAGATTTCTGCTGAACTTTACCACTTCGCAACCACGAAATCTCTGTGTGTGACGCGCGGTCGCCGAGCGCGATTAAACTGCATCCTGACATTGGGTTGGTCTTATCTGCGGCATGCACGTGCACGATAACGCGACGCGCTTTACTACGATGATAATACGCTTCGTGACGACGGCGGCCACTTTCGATCTGGCTACGAGCAACGTGCCAGCGGCAGCTCGCGAGAGCTGGGGAAACGCTTTGCGCGAGAAACAAAACGCGGATCGGTGCGTCATGCGGTTAATTTGAAGCGAGCTAGGATATATATATATATATATATATTGGAGGATATCCCTTTTTCTCGCGCGCGCGAAACTAATTTGTTCTCCGTGATCGTCGCGCATGGTGACGAGAACAATGTGCGTCAAACCAATGGAGGAGAACGAAGACGACAAGGTTGTCAGCATGATCATCAATTACTTCAGCACGAGGGTAAATATCGCGAAGATCGTCGTAAAAGAAAAACGAATTTATGAAAAATTGGTTAAAAATCAAATTTGTACGAACATTATCGTGGACTGACTTTCAAAAATGCCCTGTTAGTCGGGCCGACTGGGTCTGTGAGACCCACGCGGTTTTAAAATTAAACGTCTCTGCGAAAGATCGATATTTTTCATTTTTTTCCTTTTTTGAAAAGTTGGAACGATTCTGCATCGATCAAAAAATCAAATTTAAAAAATCTCTAATAGTTTCGAAGATATAATCGTTAAAAAAAATAAATAAATAAAAAAAACTAGTTTTTACTAGAGTTACGCCGAAGCGCAACTTTTGAGCGGGTCTGTTGGAGATGTCAGTCCACGAAGGTTTTTTAAATTATGACAAACTATACAACGTGTCCGTATCGTTCAGTCGTAAACATATTTCTTGCTACGATGCCTCGTTATATTGTTAGGAAATGCTGCGAACTCTCTTCTCTCTCTCTCTCTCTTTTCTCTCTCTTCCCTCTTCGCGAGTGCTTTTTGTGTTTTCTCGAATGCGACATGCACTTGGAAGCGTATCAAGTTTTTCCAGCGCGTGGCAACCGGCCAAATCCCCGGTTCTCCTCTCTCCCGCGATGATTCTGAAAAGAAACACGACGAGTTCACAAGACCGGAAAGTGGAGCGAGGCATTTTCTCCACGTAGTCGTAAACAATTGTCTTCAACACCGAGAGACAGCGAAATACCGCGGGTGCTAGATTTTTAGGGATGTAACTGTAATGTTTAACTTTGTGTACAAAGGAAAAAGCTCGGGGGACAGCGTAATAAATAATTTTCGCATCAAAAGACAAACTTGCGCGCAAGTTGCACACAACATATATTTTACTTGACAAAAAACAAAACTATTGAAAAAAAAAAAACTTTAACTTTTTACCACTACCGCGTTTTCGACGAAATACTCGCGCGATTGGATACTCGCGTGATTTTACACGAACTCGCTAATTATTCCCATTTTGCAGAACTTCTTCTCGAAGCGGTCGTTCCGATCGAACCCTCTGAAGAGAACGAAGAGCGTAACAAAGCTCGAGCGGCAGAAGCAACGGGGCGCCGGTCTTCGGGGTTGCCGTTCGCACGAGTCTCTGCTGTGCGGGCAGGCGGTGACCTCGATGGACCTCGCGGCGGTGACGCCGTTGCATCCCAGTCTTCTTGGCAGGCCGCACTGCTTCCAGGTCACGCCGAGCACCGGCGGGCCCAAGTATTTCAGCTGCAGAACCGCTCACGAACGGGACCAGTGGTTGCACAGGTCGGTTGGCTGTTTCTTTTTTTTTTACTTATCGCCCTTTCTCCTCCCTCCCGCCACTTGTTAACCGTTCGTCGGAAGTTATCGTCCCGGACGCTCTCGGTACAAGCATCGTATCCCAGATTCTGAATCGCGAGGCATTAACATGTTTGCCGAAAAATTATGTCAAGTTATAAATATCATCGCGGTTCGTAAATTACGCGCGCGATGGAAGATTCGAGTTTTTACACAATGATACACGCGAAGAAGAAGAAGAAGAAGAAGAAGTAGTAGTAGTAGTAGTAGTAGTAGTAGTAGTAGTAGTAGTAGTAGTAGTAGTAGTAGTAGTAGTAGTAGTGAAACGCGAGAGCAATTTGTTTTTGTCGTTTGCGCAGCTTAAGGAAATCCGTTCAGCCGGATGCAGAACAAACACGTCGAACGGACAACTCCCTGCAGATCTGGTTGCTGGAGGCGAAGGGCGTGCCCGCGAAGAAGCGATATTTTTGCGAGGTCTGCCTTGACAGCACCTTGTACGCGCGAACGACCGCCAAGCTGAAGGCTGATTTGTGCTTCTGGGGCGAGCACTTCGACTTCCATCACTTACCCTCTGTCAACACCATCCAGGTCAACCTCTACAGAGAGGCGGACAGAAAGAAGAAGAGAGACAAAAACGGTTTAATCGGTAAAGAATCTTCAGATTTTTCCTGTCAACTGCTTTTTACTGTATTACATTTTTTTCCAGTTAGTTGAAAACCTTTGTTACTGCACTGTGTTGCAAAAACGAATGTTCGTAGGAAGGAAAAACTTGATTGTACTGCAAAAAAAAACAAAGAATGCTTCTCATAAATGCAAAAAAGAACTTTATTTTTGTCAATGTAGAAGAATTATGCAGATCGAATTATTGTAGCGCAATGGTCTCTCGAACGTTTCTTTCCAGGTTCTGTCAGTATACCGGTGCACAACGTTACGTCGCGCTATCTGACAGAGAAATGGTATCCCGTAGTGGGTGACAAAGGACCTCTGAAGGAGCCTCCTGCACTAAGAGTAAAATGCCGTTTTCAGTCGGTCGACATACTGCCGGTTCAAGTGTATCAAGAGTTTCTGGAGTATCTGAAGACCGATTACGCGTCGTTATGCGAGAAACTGGAACCTGTTATCAGCGTCAAGGTGAAGGAAGACATTGCGACCGCCTTGGTTGCGGTGATGCAACGGGAGAAAAAAGCGCCGCAATTCCTCGCCGATCTCGTCATGATGGACATTCATCGAATAGGTTTGTCCTTGTCACATAAACCTTAATTCTCGTGTTAACGAGTGATTTAGCACTTGTATAATTTTGCGCAGCATAATTTTTTCTTCAACCTCGATCACATTGCTCGTGCAATACGCATGCAAATTGTATTTTTAATGATTTGTTTCAAGTTTGTTCTGATTTTAATACTTGTAATTTATAATTTCAACTTGTATTTGTGTGATCAATAACGTTTCAGATGACGAGAGGCTAACTTTTCGAGGAAATTCGTTAGCCACGAAGGCGATGGAAGCCTACTTGAAACTGACCGGGGACAGATATCTGCAAGAAACTTTGGGAGCCGTTGTGAGAGGCGCGGTTGAAGGTGGCGACTGCGAAGTGGATCCGCTCAAGGTCGCTTCCGTCGCCGCGTTGCACAAACAACAACAAAATCTTCGCAACGCCGTGGAACTGGCCTGGAGCAGAATATTATCGAGCCACGCTCACTTCCCGCTGGAGTTACGCGAGTGTTTCCGCATATTCCGGGAGCGCCTGGCTGATATGGGCCGCGAGGACATTGCAGACAATCTCATCTCCGCGTCGATCTTTCTGAGATTCCTCTGTCCTGCCATTCTCAGCCCATCTCTCTTCAACATTACGCACGGTGAGCGGTTAAAGCGTATTTGATCCATGTATATATATATGTATCGTTATATAAAAATTATTTGAAAATAGTTTATTTCTCGTGCAAAACAACAATAACGTTCTCTTTCTACGGTAGAATATCCGAACGAGAAAGCAGCTAGGAATCTCACTCTGGTCGCGAAGACACTCCAAACGCTCGCAAACTTCACGCGATTCCAGGGCAAGGAAAACTTTATGGAATTCATGAACGATCTGCTCGAGCGCGAAGCTCCGTCCATGAAGAATTTCTTGCAGCTAATTAGCGTGAGAATTTTTTATCGATATAATTTTTTTACTTCAAATTTTATCTTATAGTTCGCCTCAATAAATATTCATATGATTATAAGGTAATCTTTAACTTTTGATGATGTAAACTTTTTTTTTAACAGAGCCCACTGCCAAAAGACGCCCCAGCCAATAACTCGCTCGAGTTTGACGGCTACATAGATCTAGGCAAGCAGTTGTCTCTGTTACACGTTCTCTTGCGAGAAAGTGTGACAACGATTGCCTCATCTTCGCCGTCGATGCCGCCGTCACGATTACCAGAAATCCTCGACAGGATCTCCCTGGCCTTGGATCAGCCAGGTCCGAGTCCTGTACCCGCTGCGCATCGTTATCCAAACTTGCAGAACAACATCTTCCGTTATAACGATCCGACCATTGCCAATAGCAACACGAATCTCTCGATCTCGGCCACGTCGACGCTGAGTAATCATAGCACGATAAACGGAACAATTCGCGACAGCAACGAAGTGCTGCAGACCAATACTCTGGGACACAACAGCTCGCGCAGTCCGAACGTCGCCAGAGCGGCGACTCTACCGCGAAACGCTTATATGCCGACAAACGGCAAACTGCAATTGCAAATCAGTTCGGACGATTATCCGCTCGAGCCGCCGGCGTTCGTGTCGCGTTCGCCGACACCGATCACGCGACAACACAGGCCGCTCGGACCGAATCGCACCGGACCGGGCTACAGACTAACAGCCAGCGCAAGTTTGGCCAACGTCAATCACTGCCAGGCTCATCCGACGAGCCCCACGCGTTCTGAAAGTCACAGCAATCTGAAAGACTCAAATTATAACATTACCACGTCACCGCAGAACAACCAGTCGAGCAACGGCAGCATTGTCTCGCAACAGCAACAGCAACATCGGCACAACATCGCACGCCTACAGAATCTTGAAATACACGATCGCGAGGACAATTACAATCACAACAATTACAACGTTTCAAGATCGACCAGTCGAAATCATTGCCACAAGGAGGAGAACGCCAATCAGACGCAACAGCGTAATTACAACAACGTCTCGAAAACTACGGTGAACGCTAACGTGGTCGTCAATCCTCCCACAAATCTCACCCTGTCCATTAATCATCAGCCAAACAACAATTACAACAACGCCAAAGTTAACAACGCCTCCGCCAATGGCAATCTCGACGAACTGTCCGATTTATTGAGATATGCGGACGACGAGGTTTCGGAGTCCAAGTCGCAGAAGGGCTCGCAGATCTCAATTTCGCAGCTGAGCAACGTGGCGTCCTCTGGTTACCAAAGTTTCGCCGCTTACAGTCAGAGCTCGAGTCCGGTAGATCTCAGCAGCAACAACGCAAACGCGCACATTCTCAACACAGCGCCGCTAGCGTTCGCCAATCCTGTTTATCACATGGAATCTAATCACGCGCGGACGGGCAGACGAGACAGCAGCAGTTCCGAAGAAAGAGAAGGAAGCGGCGGCGGCGGTGTCGATAGTGTGAGAGGAGTCGATCTGAGTCCTTCGCCGCCGCCCAAGAACAACGTGCGAAGTCATCAGAGAAACGGACAGAACCAGTGGAGACAAGGCAATCAGACCCACAGAAACAACGTGGAACACACGCAGGATGTCTGCTGCACGAAACTTCGTAGAAGGTTATCTCTGGATTCCACGAGAGATCTGTCAGATACCAGTGAGGAGGAAAATTGCACCACCAGGAGGAGCAAATCTCGCAGTCATCGAAGCATCGATCAGGTGAGAGAGCGAGATTCTAGCAAATTTGTTTCTTTTTTCTTTTATGCAACTTGTATTACAAATTATTAACGAGTCGACACTGATCGGATCGAATTAACAGTTCTTGGACACGAAGAGCCAATCATTTTTGTTTTCTTCAATCTGTTTAAAAATCGAATTGTGAATAACAGATTTTTGTTACGTTTTGTTACGAGATCGTATACTGACCGAGTACAAGCGACGTTAATCCTTTTGTAACCTGTCGTCTAACGAATGACGCGCTGTGGGGGTATCGTCTTTACCTGTTTTGTAACTAACACTTCTACGTCTCTTCGTTTCCAGTACGAAGTGGAAATGTATGAGGTTGAGAGGCTGCAGAATAGCGCGGATCGGCTGCGATTGCGCGCGCGATTAGGCGCCACCGAGGATGCCGATTTAGACCTCGCGCCCGACACCAACATGAAGAGCATCATCTCCAGGTACTACGTCTTCACATTCGCACTAAAGTGTTTATAGAGCTAACTCACTATCGGAAACTTTGCTTGAGTGTGAACCCTGATACCACCGTGATATCATTCTATCGTCACTTTCTATGCGTTTTTTTCACTTCGACGTCTCGCCATGATCAGCCATAATCGATCTTCCATATTCCTCATTTCTCGACTCGTCGTGAGATTCACGTTTTCGAGGCTTCCGTTAATTAAAAAAAAAGAAAAAAACAAAAACAAAAACTCCAAGGTGTCGTAGAAATGACACTCGAATTGGCAACTTTCAGATTCGACATTGCTTCTTTAAAAACGTTTTGACCGGCTTTTGCAATTTCTCGATTCTTGAATTGGATTTTCCCAATAAGCGCGGGTTTAAAAATTATTCCGTCCATTTTCTATTTTTCGCGTATCAGAGATAAATGTTGTGTTTAATCGCGTGTACCTTTTTCTATGTCTAACTAATGGGGAAACACACTCATCCGTAACGGCAACTTAATCGAAATGATGTATTTAACTGATTGTGTGTTCCTGTGCATTCTATCCGCTGCATTTGGTATACTCTGGCTTGATCTGGACCTTTGGTGTAAGAGTCAATTATATTTCTAAGCTTTTCTTACAATTTTACATTCACATATATTTATATGTATACATATATATATTATATATATATATTATATTAGCTTCTCTTATCGTGTTTTCTCTTGATTTTTAAAAACACCGCCGCGCAAGAAGTGTCGCATTCGTCACTTTTGAAAAATTTTAAAAACCGAGCGAAAACTCTTTTGCATTCACCGTTTTCACGAAAATGTAAATTTTTTTTTTTTTATCAGCAAGTATTGTCGCTCATCGAACATCGACACACCTCACGACACATTCCAACACGTTCTGTTCACGTTCGCGCACGGACATTCTATATGACTCTCCCAACAACAATCACTTGCCACAAAGAAAGAAACGTCTGTCTTTGTTTATCGCAAGTCCGTCCGTGGATTTAACGAAACTGCGCGTGGATATTTATTTATTTTTCTTCTTTTCGGTAACACTAAGACACACACGCTCGCTGCGTCATGCGGAGCGACATGTGGTTTCTTGTTTCAGGAAGAAAAGAATTTTTACAATTAAATTCCAATTATATCCCTTTCCAAAAGTCTATTCAAGCTATGCACCAGACACTATCGCTTTTTACAGCTTGAGTTTTTTACCTGTTGATGTGTGTGCGCTTGGCTCTTTTCCGACTTCGCTGTAACATCTCTCGCAACTCTTTTGTGGAAAAAAATGAAATAAGTTTTTGCAAAAGAAGAACTGAAAAAAAATATTTAATTAATTAATTTGAAATATTTAATTAATTAATTTAAAAGAAAATATTTAATTTCGTCTGAGAGAATTTACAGGCGAAGTTCGATTTTTAACGCGCTGGCGCTCCTCGACTTTCTTTATTCTTTACAAAGCAATAATTCGACATCGTGTGTTTTGAGCACAGTTTTTTAAAGAATAAAGAGGCAGTTTCGAGGAACGTTTTTTCGCGGCTGGTAGTTTTCTTTGTCGAGCAGTTTTTCTCTTTTTCGCTTGGCGACTTTTAATCCCGCGATAAATAAAAGTTTCCCGTTTTTGCCCGTAGGTTAATCTCCGTGGAGGAGGAACTACGTCGCGAGCAACAGAAGATGTCGGCGGCGCTGTCGTACAAGCAGCGCGTGATCGACGCGCAGGAGCAGCAAATAGCCGCCCTGGGTGCCGCGAATTCGCGTCTGATGTCGACAAACGCGAGCCTACTGTCGGCGCTGAGCAAGCAACGTTACAACGCGAAGTCCCAGGGGAACAGTGAGGCCGCGCCGCTGCTGCAGAACATTGCCGACATCGGCGAGCTCAAGAGTTCATCGTGCTAAGGCACGCGTGTCGTCACGGTCGGGAATCGTCGAGACAAGATTCTTTCGAGCGACAGAAGAGCGCGCTTTTCTTTACAGAATCTCGTGCTGCAACACGTGATGAACAGGCTTCGTTCATATCTCTCCCGAACGATTAATTTTGCAACATATTTCTCGTAAAAATGATTCGCCGCAGAACACAAATAACCGGAAAAATGTTCGTGAGAGGATTTTTTTTTATTCAGAGGGGAAGCGTGCGGATCTGTGCATTGGTTGCGATACGTGGCGTTGATTTCACGAGTCGTTTCAATTTATAACGCTACCTCTCGACAAAATTTATCTCGCAACATTGTGTGCAGCACGAGCAAATAGCTCCGGCGTTGAGTCGGGGAAAAATCGGAGGATGTGTGCGCGAAAGGGAGTATTATGTTGAAAAAAATAAAAAAATAAAAGAGATATTACGACACGAGAGAGAGAGAGAGAGAGAGAGAACAAACGGCGTGCGCGAAAACTAGAGGCTACTTAGTGAAATAGGCAGACCAAGTAGGCAATTCTCGTCGAGTTTATATACATATAAACGTGGCGTTAGGCTAGATTTATTTGTACACGCGAGCGAAGGACAAAACCCGCGCGACTCGTCCGAGGTCCAAATTACGGAGGTCATCCCGATCGCACAAACGACTTGCGTCGATCGTCTTCGAACTTCGCGACCGCGCAAGTCTCCCGACTTTGCTTCGTTCGGCACGAACGAAACGAAAGTGGCAACGAGACGAATTTATTAACGCTTTTATCCCAATCGAATCTTTGAAACTCTTGATCAATGGCGAAAAGCGACTCGATTTTCATATAATTCAATGCGAATTATTCCGATCATGTTGACACACCAATAAAAAGTTCGTGGAATTATAAATTTTTGAATATAGAGAATTATTTGATACGAGCCAAAAGTTCACTCTCTTGAAGCTTCTTACTTTATTACTCTTGTCGAAGACCAAAAAAAAAAAAAAAAATGTACGTGCGTATGTACGAAATTTATGTACAAGTTTCATTAACTCCAATCTGAGAGATTTATTAACAATTGTGTAACACGTTAGCTCGATGGTATTGATCGCGACGAAAGATCGATGTCCAGTTTCTATAGTGGATCATCCGGTTTGAAGGATCGTTTTCGTCCAGCAGCGGGGCGCACTCAGACGTAATGTAAAAGCAGCAGCCCTCGAATCGACGAATCGCGTATTTGTTTTTCCGGTTACCTATTTACGCACACAATCACATGCACCGCAAAAAAAGTTAATTAATTGTAAACACATACGATATATATAATATAAAATATACGCGAAGATTTAACAATAATATATCGACGTTCGCGTCTCTCTCACCAACAGTAGGAGCGGTATTTCTCTCGAGCACCGAATCGTACTGCAGAACCTTTGTATAGGCATGTATATTTTTCTATAGTTTGTTCCCCGAATGTGTGCTCATAGCGCGTAAAAAAAAAAAAAAAAAAAAAAAAAAAATAAATAAATAAAACCACGCGCGAGTTTTAATAGTTTTGCGCGCGACTTTCGATCGACAAAACATTTGAACACTTGCTTTTTTTGTTTTTTACGGCTTAGGAACGAATGAATCTAGCCAAACAACTCGCGATGTTGTTTTTCTTTTATATTTCCGATCGCCGAGTATCGAGCGAGAAACAAAAACGGAACAACGCGCTTCCTCGAGGCGACGACGACGGTTCGACCGAAGAAGCTCCGGAAGAGACTCTCGGGGACTTTCCAAAGCAACGTTTTGCGCGCGCCTTCTTCGAAATCTTTTTTTTTCTTTTTTTTTTTTTTTTTTTTTTATCTCGACGGGCCGCGTGCAAACTTTTATGACTCTACCTTTGATTCAGCACGATCCAATCTTTAACTCTAAGCGACGATATTTATTTAGTAGTGATCTACCAAAGATGAAGAATTTGTAAAGAGAGTATTCGAGATTTATGTAAGATATTATTTGGTTTTTTGTTTGTTTGTTTTTTTTTCTTTTTTTTTATCTTGGCCATTCCCGATGAAGGCGATATGTGATTTTTATCGTCAGGCGTATGGGGAGAAAAAAAACAAAAACGCAAGTCCGGGAACACGATAATAGAGCGAAAAGCGGTGTGCAAGTCACGCGATGAAATTCGGAAACACACTCCGTTCTTCCCGCTCCGCTCTCGGTATTATTATTAGCAACAAGAGAAAGAGAAAAAAAGAAAAACACTCCCTCTCCTCCCCGAATTTGCACACCGAGATTCCCGAGGCTCGCGCGAAATTGCTTGTAAGTTTTATGCGCAATTTTAAAAGCGCGGTGTTAAAACGCATGACAATTAATTAATTAATTATTTAGTTTTTCCGAAGGTCTCGCTCGTTCGCAAAGCGTAAATGTGTGTTACGATTTACATCACAATAACAATTTATTATTATTGTAGCCATTGTCGTACAATGCATGCGTGAAAGACTGAATGAGAAAGCGAGCGAGAGAGCGGGAGAGAAAGAGACGGACGATGCGCAAAACTGCGCGTGCAAAAGTAAGAGAATGAGAGAATGTGCGTGCGAGGCAAAAGCCTGTGTGTATATGTGTGCGCGTATGTACGTGTGTATGGAAAGGAATGCGAAAAGATTAATAATCAGTCTAATCTCTCGTTAAGAAAAAAAAATCAAGTATTATCTCGTCGACTTTGTATCATAGCTCGCTATTCTTCTGCGTGTTCGAGCGTGTTTGAGTTTTTCTTGCCTCACACATTATTTTTGTATAGAGACTGTACCCTCCTTTCTTTCTTCTTCCGCGCTTTCAATCATTTCCCTTTTGTACTTTTTCTTCTTCCGGCAATTTGCATTGCTTTTTCGTGACTCACTCTAGTATTCCCCCCCCTTTCCATTTTCTTCGACTCGTCGAGTGTTTACACATGAGATAAAATTAATATATATATATATTAACTCTATTCCTTCTTCTTGTTGGACGATGTAATCGATAAAATATCTATTTAAAAAATCACTTAAATAGCGTGTACATTTATTAAGTTTTGGTATATTCGTTTCTGCAATAGACCACCTGTATTTAAGCGTATAGCGACTATTACACTACATGAACAAATAAATACGATTAGACATATTATAAACAAGTCTGTTTTTTCTTTTATTATATCACCACTCCTGTTTGATGATTCACTGCGTCCAGAGAACGCCAAGGCCAATTACTTTCGTCAATGTGGAACGAAAATTTATACACAGAATGGTTTTGACATATATTATTGATTTAAATTTCATAAAACATACAAAACAATAAGAATCCAAAGTTTTTACTTATAAAACTTTGTGGCTTGAATCGTCGGCTGAATCGCGATAGGTATGTTTCATGAATTTTAGACGAAATCGTTCTTTCGCGAAAACTTTAATAACAATTCAACTTTTATAAATATTGAAATTTTGAAATGACAGTCTTCTAGTCAAGACTCCAAAGTTCTTTCGTGCAAAATTTCAATCATTTCCTATGATTAATGCACGAGATACAATCAGTTTTATGATCAAGATATCGATTTTCTTCGCGTTCTTTAGTAACGGATTAGACAAAGAAGTCTGTCTGTCGCTGTAGCGGAAATTTTATGTTTTATTACCAGGATCACAGAAAACGACAGGAGCTTAGCTACCAAGAGACTAGAGCGAAGAGATGAACTGATTCAGCAAACAACTTCACGGTATTAGATAAGTTGAAGAAAGTGGCACCAAACGTTTTGCTTTATCGGCAAGTTCTAGCGGAAAAATTAAACTTTCGTGCCAGGATCACAGAAAGTGACAAGAGCTCTGCTACCAGGGGTGTAGGGAGAAGAGGTGAACTGACTCGATAACTTAGCCGTATTACAACAGTAAAAGTTGAAGAAAGTGGCACTACATGGGTGCGTTCAGACAATTCAACGGTTGAGAGGTCATCACTTATGATAGGACTATTTTTCAAAATCTGCTGCGGTTCCAAAAGTATGATCCAATCAGAAATGATTATCTCTCAACCGTTGTGCAACTGTTGAGTTGTCTGAACGCACCGCATTACTCAAGAGCGCTCCCGTACCAGCGTGAAACTGAATTTTTGTTAGCAGGAACACATGATGACACAAGAGATTTACGAATTAAACAAATAGATAAAACAGTTCGATTCCTCGCTATTTAGTGTAGACGCAAACCACAAAACTTACAAACTTAAAACTTTTGCATTATACTTCTTCTTTACAAATATTGCTTAGAGTTTTTTTTATGGTTTTTAGATTACAAACATTTAAAGTGGCGTAAATAAAAATCGAGCAGTATAAACAATGTTATTTTTATTCAGCGCAAAATACATTTAAATATAACAAACAATACGTAGTATCATGTGCAATTGTTCGTCGCACACTCCCACACAGAACAAAAACTCCATTAGACGTCTATTAGACGTTCACAGCTCCATTTAATAGATGTCTAATGGATATCTGGATGGATAAATGTCTGTGTGGGATTAATCATAAACGTATTGTTTTTGTATAAAATGTTTACAACATATAAACATGACAGTTTTTATCGTCTCGATCGTTCGTATCTCAAAACGGTTGAAAATTATAGCGGTACACGTTAATACAAACATTAATTAAATGAAAGTCACGTGACAGGTAAGAGAGAAAATACAACACGTGACTTTCCTTTCGTCACGTGTCTATAAAAACGTGACTAAGTTAAAGTCACGTGACGAACAGGGGAAGAAAACCAACACGAGATTAAAGTCGCGTGACTTTACTTTCGATTTTTTTTACTTTATCGTATAAAATAAGAACAGAAGCAAAGAATATAGAAATAATTTTCCTTTGATTGAATGTTATAAAATAATTGATTGAATGTTATGTTATAAAAGTTAAATAAAAAATGCCTTTCATTGAAGACCATTATTTGTACCTTATTATAAATCTTCATTATATTAATTAAGTGCAACAAGATACTTAAAGATAATTTATCACAAATATTTATTAACGAGATAAACGCGAGGAATTGCTTCAGGTTCAGACTTGTTAGTATATCCAGTATGAAGATTATGGAAAAAGGGCTTTGCTGAATTTATATGCAAGTTGATTTGCAAATGATCCAAACAAAAATATGTATTTTACAAACGTTTCGACTATATTTATAAATACTTTTGCAGCTATATGATTTTTAATTTCTCACCATTATTCGAAATTTCAATAGTCAGTCTCTCCTCTCGCTTCAGTCATGAAATCACTGAATTTCATGATTAGCCACTACAGTGAAATTTGATGTTAAAGATTCGAAATCTGAGAGCTGAAGTTTGAAATTAGAAACGAGATCTAAAATTTATGAATTCAAACTCTTGGACTTGTGTGCACGTAGCACAGAATAGAACCACGTTGTGAACATAGCACGGAATAGAACCATGTCCACGTTTGAACATAGCGTACGCAAGTACGACAAGTCGTTCGCGGACATTGGCTACGTAGTTGCCAATGTGCACCACCCGCGGGCATTGCGCTGGCTTACAGGGAGGAAGAGCTATTACACATTCTCTTGTGAGGCCTGGTTGGCCTCTCAGTCTTCTCTCTATAGTGTGCTCTAATAGTCGTACGTTACTGCGGAACCGTCCAGCGCTATCCGTTTCTGCGCGCGCGAGGATTTGGCGACCATTGGGCGCGCGACGACGTAGCTGTATGGGGGCGCGATTGGTATTTTCATACGGCGTGAATCCAAAATGTCAGACATCGATAAATGGATAGAGATCGCGAAAGATTGCAAATACCTGCCCGAGAATGATCTCAAGGTAAATCGAGAAGCAACGACTTTGTTCGCGCGCCTGTTGCGCCCGTTTTCTCGTTTTGTGTCAACCACCGCGCGCGAACAATGACGATTAAGGTTACCCTCGTCCGGAACTCTCTTTCGCGTTATCGCCCCGCTCCCCGTGTTTCTCACCGTATGCATTTAATCATGTTCATTCCTGTCGACAGAAACTCTGTGAGATGGTGTGTGATCTGTTGCTGGAGGAGTCCAACATCCAACCTGTGTCCACTCCGGTGACAGTGTGCGGCGATATTCACGGTCAGGTAAATGCTCTCTCTTTCTCTCTCTCTCTCTCACTCTACAATGTATGTTAACCTCTTTCACAAATCGGAGCTATACGCATAATTTGTTCTGCTGTTCTGTTGCAGTTTTACGATTTGGAAGAACTGTTTCGCAACGGTGGTCCTGTGCCCGATACAAATTACATATTTCTGGGAGACTTTGTCGATCGGGGCTACTACAGTTTGGAAACGTTCACCCGTCTGCTCACACTGAAAGCTAAATGGTCGGACAGGATAACGTTACTTCGCGGTAATCACGAATCTAGACAAATCACACATGTTTATGGATTTTACGGTGAGTGTCGCAGCAGCACTTTTCTTGTACGACCTCATAGTTGGGTGTATGACGCCTTGATTGTTGACGATTCTCTTCTACTTTTCTTACAGACGAATGCCAAAACAAGTACGGCAATGCTAACGCATGGAAGTACTGTTGTAGGGTATTTGATTTGCTCACAGTTGCTGCCGTGAGTATATTATTGTCATATAAAAAGTGTGAATGGATTCATGTGTGTTGCAATGTTCAAAGAAAATATTTTATTTTCAGTTAATTGATGAACAGGTTCTTTGTGTACATGGTGGATTATCTCCAGCCATTAGAACACTAGATCAAATTAGAACGATTGAAAGGAATCAAGAGATTCCTCACAAAGGTAATAAAACTAAATTTCAGAAGATAAGTTACTTTTGTGTGTTAAACGTTTTTTATCTCATGAAATATTGAACAGTGAATTATATTTGCGCTGATACTATAAATTGTTTTTGCTCGCTTGCACAGGTGCTTTCTGTGATCTGGTCTGGTCTGATCCAGAGGACGTAGAAACATGGACAGTGAGTCCGCGCGGTGCAGGTTGGCTGTTCGGCAGTAAAGTGACTTACATGTTCATGGAAGTTAATGATCTTAAACTCATCTGTAGGGCACATCAATTAGTTCAGGAAGGTGTGTGTCTTATAAACATTTTCTTGCAGTTTCAGATAAATCGAGGATTCGCATTAACAATCCGATTGTCTTCTATCCTGCAGGTTATAGGTACATGTTTAACGACAAACTTGTCACAGTATGGTCGGCTCCGAATTATTGTTATCGGTGCGGTAACATAGCTAGTATCATGCGGTTCACGACAGTGGACCAGAGAACACCTGTGCTGTTCCAGGCAGTGCCTGATTCCGAGAGAGTAATCCCACCACTCACGCCCACTCCCTACTTTTTGTGATCTAACTTAGTGGACTGTCTATACAGATGCAGGAGAGAAGTGTCTGTGTCTAGACTCTACGGAATCACATGACTCGATCGATGACTCCGACCCAGGCTGGTACCATGACGGAACCTACCTTTATAACAATTTTTGCGCGCGGGAATACACAAAGCCGGTCAGTCTAACAATTTTCATTCTCTCTTTAAAAAAAAAATTTAAAGTAAAAAAGAAACGAAGTTTGTTTGATACGTTCCACAGTCGAAAAAAAAAAAACAAGAAAAAACCAAAAAAAAAAAAAAACACGATATCTATACGATGACCGAATTGTCATGTGATTGCTCTCGTTCAGGGAATGCTCTTTAGATTTTTTAAGAAACTTTATCAGATTTTACATGTCGCGAAGCTAACTTTTATATGTATCACATATAGTGTCTGCCATCGCATCAGCCTGATTTTTGTAGTTCAACAAGAAAGAAAAACACAAAAACGATATTTTGCATCCGAGCAAATGTGAACATTCTGTGGTCTAGATGCTTTTGCTGTCTACTGTGTACATTCTGTAGAATATTCGTACTTCAGAGCAGCATCCTGGACTTGAACGTTCAAAGGACTTAAGAGCTTCTAAGTAATTTATGAGCGCGAGTAAAAAACAAATATAGTCCGGTGCTGTGTGTGTTAAATAAACAATTAAAATAAAAAGCAAAAAAAAAAGAACACAAATAAGAAATTATACCACATTCAAACAAACATTCCGGCAAAAAAAAAGTATACTCTTTGAGTGCAGTGAATGCTTCTCTGATAATCGCAATCGTTGTGCGTAGAATTCAGGTTTATTCAAAAAGCGTGAGCATATATAGTACTGTTAAGGTCTTCCCGAACAATGTAAATGATCTGTTTCTGTTTAGGTACTGTGTGTGCTGCGTGCAGTTTTTTTTCTCCCTCTCTGTCTTACTCTCTCCTAGAAACGCGCGCAATCAGTGTTCTTAAAAAAAAAAAAAAGAAAAAAACAGCGATCGTAATAAATATTCGGCGCTTTTTCGCCGACGTACAAATAGCGTGTATAGCGGTAGCCAAAGGTGTAATATCCCGTCTTAGACAGAGAATCCACGGGATCGTATCGTCTCTGTCGATGTATTTCTCTTGTTACTTTTATGCACATGACATTTCTCTTTGTACGCTTTTAATTTTAAGAAATTTCAAGAGCTCATCGGAACATTAACATCGATATTCTTTTTTTTTTTTTTTTTTTTTTGTTTGGTTGGTAAAAAACCACAAGAGAACAAAAATATTGGTCGCGTTCAATCGCCATATTTTTCTTCTCGATATATATAATATACATATATGTACAAAGCAATATTTTAAATACTATTGTATTCTTCTCTTGAATCTTTGTACACTGTAAAAGAAGATGCGTAAATTTAAAAAAAAAAAAACGAAAATCTGTAAATTTACACCGGGAATAAATGTAAATACTTTGCGTGATATTAATAACGAAAATGTACGGAATCGTGTTCACTTTACACGCGCGGTAAATTTACATGATTTTGCGAATTTCCGATATTAATGTAACATTCGGATGATATACATTTGTATTATCGGTTTTACAGTGTGCAGTTTTCAGTATTGTATGCCAAATTTTGCTCTGTCGTGAATAATTAATTAGCCAATTGTCATATAAGTTTATAACGTAGGGTGTAAACTCTCTCTCTAAAAAGGAGGAAAACAAAACCGAAACCCTTAGCAATGTGCCTCTAAATTGATAAGTGTTTGTGTAATATAATGATACGATATTAAATATGAGACGCGTTAATTAAAAACAAAACAAAAAAAAAAAAACGGAGTGCACCGGCCGTTGCGTAAATCGTAAGCCTGAATTCTGACCATCGATTTCTGCTAGCTCACACAATCATCCTAAAAAAAAAAACAAGAAAAAAACAAAAAAAAACCCGATCACAGACCCGACGAATGTGCGGCATTGGCATTGTGGCACTGGCTGTCAAGTTGAAACTACTCTATTTTGAATTTTGTGATATAGAGAGCGAGAGGAGGCGCGCGCAATGGTTTCACGTCGAAGTTTATAACGATTCTCCCTGTCGCGTCATCATCCGAATCAAGTTTCGTGAAGATTCAAGTTGTTTTATTCAACAAGAAGCGAATAAACCGTACTTTTGAAACAGTGCCTTCAGAACCACCAGTAACACGAACACGCGGTCTACTATAATAGAAGTAACAAATGCTTTCTTATACTCACAGGTGATCATAAACGAACTTGAGGGGAGTCGGAGCTTAAAGAAAAAGAAATGGAGACACACGGATAAAAACAACTCATTTTAATCGCCACTTTTTTTTTTTTTATCGCATTCCGCCACGTCTCCGCTGCGCGCGTCGCATGAAACAAAAATGTCTCCTTTCTTCCGAAACTTTTCTACGGTATTTTTTTACGTTTTACAACTTTGCTACATTTTTTTAAGATACTTCTTACATTTTACGACACTCACGCGCGCGCGGGATGTGTTTGTTGTTCGCACACATTTGTACTTGTATTTTTTTATCACACAAACTTACGTGCAATTTCGTAACGTCCTATACGCGAGCAATGTAATATTACACGTTTATAGATAGAAAAAAAAAAAAAAAAAAAAAGAAACGTAATCGAGACACGGAGTTTGCGTTACAAACTCGACTCGCCACATTTTGCAGCCTCCGAGTCGTGAAGCGGAGTCGCAACAACGGGAACGCCCTATGTGCGCGGTACAGGTATCGTAGAAATCTTAATAGTAAAAAAAAAAAAAAAGAAAAAAGGAAGTATTAGCCTCTATCTACTATATCGGGGTGTTCGTGTCGTTTCGCCTCCCGAAATGCCTCTGTCTGTGATCGCTTTAATTTTATCGAAGTGTCCAAGCGCTTGCGGCGACTCGATCATGTCAACCAAGAGATTTGCGAAAAAAAATGAACACGAGACAAAGAAAAATACCGTAAAAGTAATTGTAACGTGCTCCGTGCGGGAGCTTGAACACTGCGCATAATCCTTAAAGATCTCACAGGTAGACATCATTTTCAAACGATCATAATGTACCTTGAAAGTATAGACTTTGTTATGTTAATGTAATGAAGAACGTCTGTAATAAAAATGCGTAAAAACTCGCACAACTTTATTGCTTACCGAATCAATGGTAACCTCACGGATTTGTGTATATGCGCACGTATTTGTTATCGATGAACAAACACATCGAGTAAACAAATACAAAATTACAAACAAATATTACGACAAAGAACGGGATAAGTATATAAAATACAAAGGTACTTGTTTTTTTTATTAATCTTTAAGAGTTTATTTACTCGTAATAATATTATTTTCATCATATATATATATATAATAATTCTATTTACTTCTTACTATTTATATATATATATATATATATTTATATATAATAATATAGTGTATTTTTTATATGTTCATTATATGTATATATATATATATTATCTACATTTATATAATCCCTATGAAAGGCATCTCCAAACAGACTTCAGATTTACTTCTTTTTTTTTTTTTTTTAAATATCTTATTTACTCATAAAAATACAGTGGGGGGCGGGGGGGTGCATTCATGCACGGCACACAACGCGCACACTCTCTCACTAACACACACACACGCGCGCCACGCGTGAAAAAAAATTACAGCCGTTTTGCCCGAAATCGAAAATCCCCGCGATCAATCGCGCAATAATAATTCGATCGATATTGTAAACTGGTATCGCGCGAGTATATGTATATTATATATATGTATATACATATATATCTCGTATCACATTTTGTTATATATCGTATTACAAATTGTACAAGAAATCGTACGTAATTTGTTTTTCTCGTAAATGGAATTTGCACAACCAACAAATGCAGCAACAAATGCAATGAATGAGCTTCGTTGTTTCCGCGAAAGTGAAGAAGCCGATGAACTTTTATTTAAAATGTTCAAATATAAATTTGAGATAAAAACTGTCTCGAATTCAACGCGATCGAAAGATCAATATCTCCTTTATACCTCATTACGCGAATTTGATTAAGACTATACAATCATCAGATATTACAAGGCTATCATCGATTAACACATGATTTTCATCAATATAGAAAATTGCGATCTTTATCAGTCTTTCGATTACTCGTATTTTCATCTTCGTATCACGTGTCCGTTGTATCAAATCTACGTACAAAACATTGTTTTTTTTTGCGGATTTATTCTCGCGCCGAGAAGCACGGCACATTTCGTGTTTGCGCACACAAAGCAGAGACGAAGAAATACCCACAACTTCCGTTATCGAACATGTACATATGTAACGTAATTGACTTTTATATGCGCGTTTTTTCCCGTTTGCGCTGTGAAAGAAAAAACAATTTTACAAAACCGAACGGGCATCTTCTCATATTTGCCCTTTCATTTTTTTTTTTTTTTGTAACAATTCTCGATTCGTTAGAGAAATGGAATCGACACGAGGATGCCGTTCGCGATATCACGAAGAATCGATGTTCGGTTCCGGGCAGAGCGGCGGTTCACACGACGGCGCCAAAATCTCAGTTACAAAAGGAATATAATCGAAGATAAACGAGATAATAAAAACGTACTTTCTTCTAAACGTAGGTAGAAATTGGTAACTTTTGACTCACTCATTGAAAAAGTATCTTTCTCTCCCTCCCTCTCTCTCTCTCTCTCACTCTCACGCTCTCTCGCTCCCAAAACCGGCGCTTCTTTCACGTTCTTCTTTCTGAACTCTATCGTTTCTGGGTTAAACATTTGCATTTCTTTCCCGCGACTCTTTCGATGTAATTGCGGCAAGATACGCGCGCGTGTCGGTTTTTGTTTTTCATTTCGAAAGGAAAATCGAATTGCGTTCGCGTAAAAATTTTTTACACTAAAAAGGATTAAGGAGAAAAAGAGAAGAGCAGAGAAGAAAATTTTGTCACCGGCAGACGTGATTATCTACTTAAAAAAAAAACCTAAAAAATGAAATTCACGTTTATTGCAAAAAAAAACGTTAATGACGGAAGATTAAATGAGAGATAAAAAAAAGCTTGGAATTTTTTACGTTTGAAAAGTAAGAAAAGAGCTTCAGTCGGAGTTGTAATTAAAAAAAGGTCGTCCTTTGAAAATTATTTTAAAAATCTTTTGTGCACACATTTTTGTTCAAGACACTTGAAGGCTTCCAAGGTAATGAAACGCGACACGGCGCATCACTCACGGCGCTCACGTATACGAGCACAAGTATTCTTCAACACACGGAATTATACAAAGACAGAGGGACTAGTACTTTCAACGTAGTTATTATTAAAATTTCTTTTTCGTACAATATATACACAAAGTTGAACCCACAAACGAGAGGCGCGTACTGGTTCTCGTTAGATTCTCTTTTTTTTTCGGTTTTCTTCTTTTTTTTTGTTTTTTGTTTTTATTAGACTTCTTGTTCTCTCTATCTTTCTTTTGCTCGCGATAGACTCTCACTCGCACTTAAATATTAAAGGGTTGGGCATGATAATACTTCTTTGTAGTATATAATGCCCTAAGTCTTGCTGATCCAACGCTTTAACTCTCCTAGTAAGCGGTCGCCTGTATTTCCCACGACATCGACGCGCGAAGAATCTGTTTTTATTTTTCTTCCTGTTTTTATAAAATATATATATATATATATGTATGTACGCACACAGAATATATTGTGTATGTTTCCCGCTTGACCAATCGCTGTTTTTGCCCTCTTCTTCGAGACCAACTCGATCTCCTCAACAAAAAGAATATCGAGAATTTCGACGAGAGAGATCGAGTTTTACTTCGCTACTATTTATAAACTTTTATTTACAACTATTTCACAATACCAGAACTAATCCGCTCTCTCTCTCTCTCTCTCTCTCTCTCTCTCTCTCTTTCTCTCTCTCTCTTTCAAGACTAAATTCTCAGATTAAAAAAAAACACTTTCGAGACAATAAAAAATATTCTCACTAAATATTAAATTAGGCTTTAAATCTAGTCTCAATTCTAATGTCACACGTTTATCCGAACGAGTAATTAATATCACATTTAGTTGGACGAGGAGAGTTTAAAAAAAACTTACATATGCTCCGTTGTTAAATTTATCTTATTACTGAATAATACGAGTGATTTTCATAGAAGAACAGGGGAAACTGTGTGAGAGGCTTTTGCGCATTGTTCCGCGGACAAAAGGAGATACGGTGATCCCGGAAAAAAATAGACAAAGAAAATAATAATAAAAAATAAGCGCGCAGGAATAATATTGTTTTCTTTCTTTTGAGAACATATATGATATTGTATTGCACAGTGCCGCGGAAAAGATATTACTTCAATATTATATTGTGCAGCTGTTAGCGTTACTAGATCGATATTATGCGAATAAAAAATTTTCTTACTTTCTTTGTTAACGAGACTCACACGCATGCACGCACGCACGCCCACACACACACACACACACCTGCGCGATTTCTCACGGACCTTCCAATTGAACACGGAGAGACGCGCGACGATATCCGGAAGAATACAGGTGAACCGTTACTCCCGACGACGCTTAACGTCAAATTATATAATAACGTTTACTGTATGAAGTATCTCATCGTTTAGTTAAGTCTTATAGTATGGACAAGTATCCCTAGGCTAATAGGCCCAAGGTCCATGTGTTATAGTTTTCAATGTTGATTTCTCTCTGGAACGTGCGGCCCGGCGATCACGGGTCCGATTTGAAGAGGCGCCACAGATCGAGACAGCAAAAAGCGGTGTTATTTATTGATTAATTTCAACTGTCGCGAGAGATAATTGCGATCCGCGCGAAGTCGACTTGTTGATCGAAGTGAAATGTACACGATTATCGCGACACACAGATATACTATTTTTTTTTGTTTTCTTTTTTTTCTTTTAATAATTTGCAGCAGTTATAGCGTTACAACCGTAACAAGCTTTTTGCATATTATTAGTCTCTTAATTACACAGAGTTCTGAAGAGATTTTAAATACAAATTTGTAGCACGAGAGTTTATGTCACACACTTGCGCGCGTTCCGATCGACAAGTCAATTGAGCGGCTCGTAATTACGAAACAAAGATGTTTCCGATATTAAACTCCGGCTTTATAATGTTTACGATCTTATCGGACTTGAGATTGATCTTTCCGTCGAGTAAATTACATTATCGGTAGCGAAAGAAATTATTCAGAATTTGTGAGAAGTTCTCGAAGAGAGAAGAGAAAAATGCAGTTGAAATATACGAAGAAATTGCGCGTTCAAAGACATAAAAAAAAAACAAAAAAAAAAACAAAAAAAAAAAGATGCGCCTCTCAAATCGTTCTCGTGACTGCGAGCTTGTCAGGCGATTAGCGCGTACGATATTTTTCTATGGAGAGGCAAGATGAAACAATCACGTCGACAGAACGTGCGCGGAATAATCGTTACATGCGTATACGAGGAGCAATAATCTTCCGCGATGCGAACGACTGGCGTCAGTCCACCGACTTACCTTCGCGTTTTCTCCGCGATTTTTTTCACGCGGCACTTCGCTTCCTCGATTATATAATTGAACCGATTTTTACCGAAAGCGACTGATATCTCAATTTCGCGAGGCGGTCGATTTATCACAATCAGTCGGCGTGGATACACACACATGCATATAGATATAACATTTACGTATATTATATATAATATATATATATATATATATATGTATATATATATATATGTTCTTTTCATTAGGTAAAAAAGCAAGACAAGGAGCGATTTGTTTTTTTTTTCTTTTTTTTTATACAATCCTTTATAGTTGCTCAGGTAAGGACTTCGAAAAGAACCTCGCGAATCTCCTCGCGAGAGTAAGATACCAGGCGCTCGCGTTTAACGTTTTTTTTTCTTTTGTTTTTACATATGTACATTCCACTGTTCTTTTTCGTATTTTTTCTCGTAATACTATAAAAATATCGCTTTAGAAAGGAATAAGACGAGAGAGCTCGTTCTCGCTCCCTCTTCATATACTTTTTTTTTTAGTTTAGTTGTTATTATCGAATAAACAAATGATGCGCGTGCTGCGAACGATTCAAAATCCTCCATTTTGTTTTTTTTTCTTTTTTGTCACTTTCGTAAGGTACTAATGTAAGGAAAAACAAAATAGAAATGCAAAAACGAAATGCCATAGTGTTTCGATTGTGCCGAAGTTGAAGCAGCACAAAAAGCTCTTATATATCAGCGAGTATTTATAAATATATAAATATACATATTTATAAATATATATATTTTAAATATATATATTTATTTTAAATATATATATATATTTATCTATATATAAATACATAGAGATCTTATGTAAAAAAAAAAAAAACACATAGTAAAAGAGAATCTAAAAAATTTTATCGTATACTACAAAATAAAATTTGTCTTCTCTCTCAAAATATTGTGTCCGTATACGTGTCTATTCCCATTAATTTCGCTTATCACTTCACACTGGCGTCACACCGAAATTGTTTGTCGAAACATTTGCGAGTAACGAAAGAAAGTCAATAAGTAAATTATGACTAGAATTTCATTGCACCAGAAGTGTCATCGAGAAACTACGTTTTTTTTTTTTTTTTTTTTTTTCAACAACAAACAACAAAAATTAACTTCTCGTAAGTGTCTCTTCAATGTGTTAGCGACTTAATATTAGCGACTGGAAGATCGAGAATCGTCCGCGTTGAACGCGCGCGATGACGACGCGAGTAATGAAGTCCAAGATCGATTGAGATGCGTTATAGATATATCACGTCACACAGATGTCAAATGAACGAGAACCGATGCCATAATAAGAATAAGAGTCTTCTGCGCGGTTGGACCATGGTTTGGTACGTGTTGACAATAGCGATGATGATAATGATGACGACGACGGCGACGACGACAGTAACGATGACGACGACGATGATGACGACGACGACAAGGCGATGACGATGTAGTAAAGACTCGATGTTAACACCCATTGTGGTATATACTTTTATAAGAAACATGTACGTATTCGTGTGTGTATGTGTTTTTGTGTGTGTGTGAGAGAGGACGCAGACGGGACATCGAGTATTCAAAATTCTTACGTACAAGTTTCGTTTTCTTGTGCTCCTCTTCTCGCGGTCGTGTTGGGTTTCATCGGACGAATCTTTCAATTTTCTCTTTCTCTTTGAGTTCTTTGCGCGAAATCCCCGATTCCCGGGTCTCGTAGATTTCAAAAGCCCGAAACGATTGAGGAACTCAGCGCGAAGAACTGCTTCTCGATAAGCAGAAGAATTCACAACGGACTTCTGTCCTTCCGACGGGTGCGACGAAATCTGGAGTGTGATGAAGATTAATTTAACTGCAGTAGCATATCACATCGTTTACGCGAGGCGCAACGTTTCACACGTGGTGGCGAACGACGATTTGCGAGGAGAAGATCACGTGGTGGCGAGGCTTGTGACAGGCGTCTAAAAATTACGTATGCCAGCGTGTACACGCGCGCGCGCGCGCGTATGTGTGTATGTATGTATGTATGTGTATGCGATGTGAACGCGTGTTAATACGTTCGATCAAAGCTCGATTTACGATTCCAAGTCGAGCCGGGACGATAATGCTCGTCGTCGATCATCGGTCGGTCAGTCGATCGATCCGGACTTATTGATCCTTCAATCAGTCGTTTCGTGGCGTCTGCTGCTGCTGCTTCTTTCCTTGTTTTTTTTTTCTTGGTATTTTTATGTTTTAGCTTCGAGAGCGATAATAGTAAGAAAGTTGCGGTAATAGTAGCAGTAGTAGTAATAGTAAGTAGTAGTAGTAGAGTAGTAGGTGGTCTACGGTGAGCGGTACGTAACGAGAGTCTTATTTTATCGATCGGATTATGCAATGTGAACACACAATGACGTAGTTGCGCGGTACGTTTGCGTACAGAAATATATTATTATAGTCTTTTAGTTTCGATAAAAAAGTTTCAGTCCCCTCCTCGATTGATTCGCCCATCTCGAGGTGGCGCGCTTTCTTCCTCTCCCTTTCTCTGTCTCTCTCTCTCTCTCTCTCTCTCTTTCTCACGCTCTCGCTCTCTCTTATACATTCTCTTTTTCGTAATATTTTATCCGAATCGTATTCCTACTCTCTCTTCTTTCTTTCCTCTTTTGCTGTCCCGATGTAGTTTTACTTTCTATCGTCAGCTGTTCTTTTCGTATCTTTTCGCTCGAACGATTCGATTCCTCTTTTTTTCTCTATTTCTCTCTGCCTTCCTTCGTTTGTACAACGCAACGAACACACATTTATATTATTTATATTATTTATATGTATATATATATATATATACCTTTTATATATCTATTTTATACATACACAAACAAAGCCTTCTCCAATTCGGCTCGAGTCTTCTCTCTTGAGTTCTTTTCTTTCTGTTTCTCTTGCTCGTTTGTTCGGTTCTTTTTTTACTTTTTTGTGTGTATATATATTTATAATATATATGTATAGTATGTATATAGGTATTCGGGGGGGGCTTCGTTTATCGTCACCTTGTGTATTTACTATCTTTGAATTGCTGAATTTAATAGGAAAGGAACGTAGAACATTTTACTCTCGAGTAGTAAAGCCGCCGCCGACTGTACCTGTAATTTAGCAAATAGAAACGGCTCTTAAGCGTGATTATTTTTTCCACGGGATATTAAAATCGAAATAGTTTGAGCCCAATATTATACAGTTTGTTAGAATAGAATTGCCGAACAACTGTTCCTTAAGAGAACAATATTTAAGTTTCTATTTACATTTGAAGTAAAAATCTTTCAAAAAAAAGACCTTATTCCAATGTTCAATTTTATATAAACTTTTATAACGACAACACACATACGATGTGACAACTTATTTATTCAATTTTAATCAAAATATGTAAATTTTAATATTCTATAATTTCAAAGAGCCTTTTATCTTTGAAGATTTTGTTTGACATATTTTTTTGAGACTTACTTCAGGTAACCTGAGAAGAAGCTCGTGAAATCGATTCGGCTGCTGAGGCGCGTGATGTTCGACAAAACTTCGCAGACAGTTCATATACCTTTCTTGTATTTGTTCTAATTCCAGTGTGCCTCCTCGTGCTAGAGAGAAGACAGACAAACAACATCAATAGGAAACGTAGAAATGTATTTGCCGACATTTCTAATATAGAAATATAAAAAGATATTAAAATGCTTATAACTTGTCTCTCATTTCTAGTTTTTCTTACTTAATTTAAATTACATATTTTTACAATAAAAATAACGTATTGAGAAGGAATAATAATTTTAATTATGTGAAATAAAAGTCTACATTTTTAAATGGTACGCGTGGGGAAATTGCAGCGGCCGCTTGTAGAAAGCATCTTGAACTTACATTTTACGTCTCCAATTGTAGCATTGGGAAGAGAGAAGACACGTTTACATTATTATATGTCATTCATATCATATCATCATTGAGGAAGTTAAAACACAACGCGATAATAATACACACGGGCTCGGTGAAAGTACCTACCTTGTGAGAGCATAGTGATTACTTTTAGACAGACATATTCCTCCATCCGTAGCCTCACCCGCCTGAACATTAACGTGACATACGTGATTTTTTCCACCATAAGCCCTACGTCTTGCCGCAACTGTTCCATGGTTATCGTCCGACCCATCATGCTGGTCAGGCAATTTTGCAACGTGCGCATGTTGATCGTTACCTAGTTCACAAGAGAAAAAGTGTGTGGGTTAGAATTTAAATTGCAGTCTGAGACTGTGCTTAGATTTTTCGATAAGCGAATTTTAATTTGCTCGTATTATGCAAAGATAAGCACCTCGTCCATAAAATCCGCACTCGTCCCGTCAGTGCCAACACGGTCGCTACGCTGACCACCGTGTATTGCTTGGTAGGCGGAGGTGGTCAGCACAAGAAGTTCATGCCACTTGTGCGTGAGCAGCCTCGTATGAACTTCGACCGGCAGCTCAAGGTAAAACGGTAACCTTTTGGTCCACTGCACCAACTTGTACACTATGCTGTCTCCTATCTGACACAGCTTTTCACTTAAGTCTGAATTATGGTCCAGCAGCTCGTCCAAGTTCTGCAACGCAGATTGAGGTACAATCTTGAAACGCAACGGTTTGAAGTGTTTAAAATCAATCGTTGTTTTTTTAATTTTAATTTTTACTTCTTTGATTAAACAAAATTGAAATAAGACTAGTTTAAAAGAAATTAAAAATAATTAACCTACTTAAAAATAATAACTAAATTGATTTTATGTACCCTCAACGTGGCGATATCTTGGAACTCGTCGCAGTCTATAAGGGTTTGGATCATAGTCGTGGTTGCTTCCATAGGAAAGACTCGATCCCTCGAACTGCTTACAGCATTGTCTAGCCGTTGCCGTAAATGCACCACCTTAAATAAATACATTGTCTATTTTCTCAAGAGATATATTATTAGAAATTTGTTTTTTTTTTTTTTTTTTTTTTTTTTTTTTTTTTTTTTAACTTTGTTTTTATTTAATTTTTAACAGCGCTTGTGGGCGACCTTGAAAAATTTTCAAGAGTTTTCAAAGTAGAACCAACCCCGAAAAGGCCCAGATAGCAATTACGATTTCTTTCGTGTGCGCGATCCGAGTTCGGCAGCCGCGCGTGTTATGCTTCCTACGTAAGGCCGAGAGCCGTAAGTTCAGCCTTTCACTGACCTTTTCGGACCTCGAAACGCTTCCTCGCGGTCGGGCGCGGAGGGCACGAGAGCGAAACCGAAAGAAGGACAAAGAGAGAAGCTGTCAGCTCGGTTTCTGTGACTTCGGGGAAAGCTGGTTGCTTCTCCCGGTCGGACATCTTTGGGGGGACAGCGCGCAAGCCACCGTTTGCGGAGAACCGTGGGACGCGCGTTCGCAGTCGAAGGCGGCTCGACACGAGAGGAAGGGGAGCGAGAGCGACGCGGCGAGAAAGGAGGGACGAGGGTGGTGATACACAGGAGGTGTTGGAGGAGAGGAAGCGCGAGGACGAGGGAGAGGGTGAGGTCACTGTCCCCCGTGCAGACTTTCACGAGTTACGAAACCGTCAGAGAACTGCCCGTCCTTGGCACCGGCTGTCGCTGATTTTCTATTGTCCCTGCCTGCGTCGTCGATGTTGTCGTTCGTCACGACGTCACCGCGCAACGAAGATGACGGACGTCTGACGATAAACGTGAGAAAATATCCGATCGCTATATGACGGAGAGAGATATATCTCCGAGTATCGATCCGCAAAGCGCGGTTACAGCTCGTTTACAGCCAGTTCATAAAACTTTTATCTCTGCAAATTCTTGTTACGGACAAGGATAAATAATCGCGGTGATAAATATTCAACGTGATAATTATACACACTGTGAAATTTAATCCGGTAATTACTTAAACACTTTCAGTAATTAATTTCAATTTATTATTTCTCTTTTCCTATACGCGTTGAACGTATTTCAACGTTTTCTTCTCGCCGAAGAAAGCGAAACCGTTTCCAACTTCGCTTTTAATCTTTCACAGAGTTCTCGCCTCGAGGATGAACGTGTTTGTTTCATTGTGCATCTCACGTACGATGACTCGTCCGCGGCTCGAAAGTGACCTCCTTAATGGAGCACCGTCGTGGTCAATATTTATCCGGTTTTGCCGGCATCGGTTTCACTTTTGGCAATGGCCTCTACCGGGCCATTTCAGCGATCGCGGCAGCTCCTTCGTTTTGTTCGTTTAACGCGCATAAATTTTCCGCTCATTAAAAAATCGGACACCACGTTTTAATGCACTGATCGTACGAAAAAGAATTTTTTAAATATTTTTTCTAGCATTTTTTTGTTTTTTTTTTTTTGTTTTGTTATTTTTAAGTTTGCGCTCTTGCGAGCGCAAGTTACGTACAAATAAGATGCAGATGAACACGTAAAACGCCGTGTGCGACAACGTGATCGACGACGATCGCGCGTTGATTCTCGCGCGAGCGCGTTTATACTCGCTCGTTCTATCTATCGGCTTTCGTAATGTGGGAAACCTTGAGGCTTGCGCAAGCCGGACTCGTAAGAAAGTGAAATTGCAACGGGGGGACTTCATTCATTTCAGGATCAGCGCGAGGGAAATTCTCCGATCGGAGCGCGCACCGAATTCATTTTCTGCAAAAAAGCCAAGTTTTTAATTATCGTTAAAAAAATTATGTAATCGTATATGTAGTTTCAGATCGCACAGATTCTCACTCGCGGGCGTGTAAACTCAAGTTTTATTTGAAAACAAAAAAAAAGTATTTGTCGACATAAATTGTTTTCGTTGGAAAAGTTGCCCCGCGCTCCGTTATACGTCGAGATAATATTTCTGGAACATGTTAACCGCATGTTTCCCGACCGCTAGATCGACATTGTATAAAACTAGCGGGTTCTTAATCACTTAATAAGTTAGTATCGCGCACAAATCTATCATTACTTTGTTTTCTAAAGCGCATTAATATGCAGAGTGCGAAGTGCAACTTCGCGATAGTTAATTTGAGATTTCTATCTCACACACAAGCGCGCAGCACAACAGGTTCTTCGTCGTCGTCGTCGTCGTCGTTGTCGTCGTCGTCGTTGTCGTCGTCGTCGTTGTCGTCGTCGTCGTAGACGTCGATGACGCAATTTTGAGTTTATCGAAGTAGTTCGATCTCTATTTTCTCAAGTATCTCAGGTATCGAATGCAAATCGCGAGTGTATCAAACGCACCGCGCACACATATTACATCGCATATTTCCATCATACGTAGATTTGTTTCCAATGAAATATTCTGAAATCTGTTTCCACAAATCAATGTACAGTCAAACCTCCGATAACTCGAACCTCTATAACTCGAAAACCTCTATAAGACGAAACTTTGGTTCATTTCCTTCCGCTCCGCGGAAAGGAAAGGAGCACTTCGATAAGTCGAAATCTCTAAGAACTCAAAAATTTTAGCTCTTCCCTTGAGATTCGAGTTATCGATGTTCGACTGTAATTGTAAGTATCGAAAAACTTTGAATTTCACTGAATCCTGAGAGAAATCTCAATTAAATAAAATTATACGTTTATTTGAAAACGACAACGTATTTTAGAGATAAATTTAATGTCAAGGGAGCAAGTTTAACGTAATTTCATACAAGAAGCGCTTTTTCCCAGCTAAAGTGAGTGCGCGGATAATTTAACAAGCGAGTGTTCGATCGTCGTGAAACATCGTCGTGGCGAGTATTTCCAACGGTCTCGCGGCGTGCCGTGCAGCTGCTTCGAAAGTGAAAGCGCGAAGATGCCTGCGGGACGTTCTCATCTCACAATATTCTCCTGCCGGCGGCCGGAGGAGTCAACTTTTGTTGACCCACGCTCGATTTCTAACCAGGGCTTACGTCGTATAAATCACGTAAATTGCCAGCGGCGGCGAGCAAACGGGATCTTTCGAGCTGCGCACGCTCGGATGTTGATCTACATGATCGCGCGCGCGAGCGAGAAAAGTCAACACGAGATTCATCGCGGATTTGCGAGACTTTCGGGTCGCACAATCACGCGATTCGATCGTGCCGTACTGTAGTAGAAAGTTTTCGCGGATATTATCTCACGCACATCGTCCGAGTGATGGATAAGTATGCATCTCGCGGCCGAGATTAATCCGCATCACGTTGACGACACGCGCGCGCGCGTTGCGTAACCGCTCGGATAATTAGGGGAAATGCTGTTATGCGAGCGCGATGCGCTCTTCTGTCGCAACGAAACTAGTTCTCCGACACGCGACTGCGCTCCGCGCGAGGCACGCGGAAGCAGCCGAGACAAATCGCGCAATTCGCCTTGATAAACGTTCCGGTACCGAAGGATAATTTGCGCTGCAATTTTGTTAAGTAATTTCGTAATAGTTTTTGGAGATTAAGTTTGGAAGGTTTTTAAATTTACTAAATCTCGCTACACAGAGAAATTTGGAATAATTTTGTATAATTGAAATAAAGAAAACCAAAATTTATTTTTTGTCACAATTTCTTCAAAAGATAGATCGACTTTATTGTGTTATTTATTCTATTGTGTTCATACACAACAGTTTTTCGCTCGTTTTGTCATTTCAAATGAATCTAAGCCGAATAACAAGAATTGATCACGCAGCAGAAGAGTGGTTGCTTTACTTTAAGCGACTTCAACGTTTGTTTGTCTCACAACGAAGAGGGACTCACTTCGGAGGGATTGGTGAGCGCCGTCTTCAGGATTGTCCCGTTGACGAGGTGACCCGAGTGCGCCGGATGGCTCGGGTGGCTGGCGGTGGGCGGCGAACTAAGCGGATCGCCCGACGAGATTTTGTGATGGTGAAGGAAGCTGCTGGCCAGATGGGCGTGTTGTTGCTGCTGCTGCTGGCTGTGATGGGCGGCCGCGGCCGCGGCCATGTGCTTGTCCAACATCGTCGTGCCCATGGCGCTCTTGGCGCCACTCAGGGAACCCGAGCCGTTTACACCACCGACGTTACCGCTGCTACCCAGGCCGCTGCCGACACCGCCCGCTTTGTTGGTCTTCTTGTGCTTCTTGTACTTCACCTAAAGATTACCATGAAAATCGGTTTTTTTTTTTGACTGATATATTTTTATTACATTTACAAGAGAATTAATTTTATTGCAATTTTATCGTAACGAGCAACAAAAGCAGAACAAAGAAAAAATAGGAAAAAAAAGAACTTGTAATTAGTTTCTCACAAAACTTTGCACTCGACAGTCATTAAACACGTATTTATTCAGTTTGAAACAAATATTTGTGCGGAGATACGTTTTCGTTCAAAAGCAAATAAACAAACAAACGGAAGCAATAACGTTAATGCAGAAAGAGAAAGAGAGAGAGAGAGAGAGAGAGAGATGCAACAAATAAACAAAATTGCAACGATAAATTGATGAGAATTTCACTCCAGACATTTCATTCCCGCATTTTCTCGCATTGCACATCGATGAAAAATTATCAATAAGCAAAGATTTACAATGCAATAATCCCGTTTAATAATCGACAGCCGAGCTTTATTTGAGCCAAGAGAGTTTGCGGACGCGAATATTTCGTCTCTCGTTCCTTCTCTCCTCTCCTCCCTCCTCGCAACCTCCCGATCGAACGCGCAACAAGTGAGTGAGTAACGCCGACTTTTCACGCATCAACACACAGTCCAACGTCAGAATTTGATACGTACTTTGTAGAGATTGTACACCGCACCAGAATTTCTTCCTCCGGGCATTCGGTCTTCCCGAACCGCCTGCAGGACCATACCCTGTTCGATGCACTTCTTGAACCTGCAGTACTGACACCTGTTTCTTTGCGCCTTCGTGATCTCGCAGCCGCCCTCCGCCACGCACGTATACACCCGCCTGTTCTGCACGGTTCTCTTGAAGAAGCCCTTGCATCTGCACACACGAATCAAACAAACGACTCACCGTCACGCAATTGCGATTCTGATTCGACACCTGAGCGTCGCGAGACGCGACACGCACACTTTGACAATTACGACGCGCGCTTTCCAATTAGCGACACACACAAGTCGACACAAGAGATGTCATCCTGTGTCTTTCTGTTTCTCACTGAATACTGAACAAGAACAGAATTAACTCCTGTGCCGCTAATTGGAGAGCGCCGATAAATAATGAGTATAACACGGTTGTCTCTTAAACACTGTTGTGTTACTTACACAGGCGTACGCTTAAATACTCATCGCCCTTAACACAAATTGCGAAACAGATGACACCTCCCCGAACGCTGTTTTAATTAACTTTCGATTACATCTTATCGCTCGTTGTACTCCTCGCAAGCGAAGAGAAGTGACAGAAGTGACACTTGACTTGACAGTTTCGCGCGAACGCGATTTACGTAACGGATCACGGTATTGATCATAGATCCGGACACCTTCTCCCGAGCTGTGTTTATCGATATTGAAATAACACGCTGATCGATCAATTAAAAAGTCTTGCTCTTTTTGTCCTGATTGGCCAAATCGAAATCGCTGCTTCGCGCGACGAATGGGATCGCGAGACTGCGCGTTCCCTACCTTTGCCATGTTAAGAAAATGTCTTCAACGTTGAGAGAGAGACAGCTGGTGTTGAATAGTAGCCTCATCTTTGTCTAGCGAAGCAGAGGCGTATTTAACGTCGGTGCAACCGGTGCGATGCACCGACGGGCCCCGGGATCTGCGGACCCTCGGTGCATGATAAACATTTATAAATTTATAATATTCATAACATTACCTATCGGAGTTGCGAGTGCCGAAAGATCATTTAGTGTATTAAGGAGACTTAAAAGTTATTTAAGAAGTACCATGACACAGGAAAGAACATCTGATCTAACTTTATTATCAATTGAAAAAAATATTTTGATTAATTTAAATTTGGAAGATGTTGCAAACAAATTTATGTCGGTTAAAGTTCGAAGAGGTGTTCGTTTCTAAATTTGCATACAAATAAAAAATCATTAAAAACTTTTGTCCAATTGCCTTTAATAAATAATAATAACAATAATAATAATAATGATAATAATAATTATTATTATTACCATTATTATTATTATTATTATTAATTAAAGGGCCCTCTCATCTTTGTCCTTGCACCGAAATTTTACCAGTCTTAAAAACGCGCCTGTAGCGAAGTAGTGGGGAAAATGATAGACAGAGAAAGAGTTACTATTCAAAGTATGTTGTCTCTCTCAACGTTGAAGACATCTTTTCAGCCAAACGCGCAGTCTATATATTATACGTCTATGTTGGTCGCGACGTTCGTCGCGCGCCATGATTGATTGAGCGCGACTCACTTCAGAAACGTAGAACGCGGAGAGGACGCGCGACGGGACTCGGTGCGTTACCGGTGCGTAATTTTATTTCCGATTTGAGCGATTTCGCGGTGTCGGATAAGACGCGCCCGCGCGCGTTTCGGAATCTATCATCCAAAGAATATCAATCGCGAGCGGATAGATCGCGCGAATCGCGCAATCTCCGTTCGAATTTCGCGATTTGCGCGACGAAGCTAAGAGTGCCGAGAAGTTCCGATCACGGCGGTTGTTTTCGCGCGCGAATTAAACGAATCGATCGCGATCGCGCGCGGACAGAAGATCAATCCCGATCGCTGCGGGAACACCGAAATATTCGAAGTAGCAACAGTCGCGTTCTGTGTGAGCAAGATCGATCGGCGCGAGTTCGTGCACTTGCGGATTCCCTTTGGATCAAAATGGCGCCCGGCTCCATTGCAACGCGCGAGCGACACTCCACCCCTTCTCTAGTGAGCATCTCTGCCGTACGAGCGTCGTTTTGTGGTGAGTCGAATTCTTAAAGTACATTGATCTTCATTTTGTCACGTCAGAAATTGAACAAAAGATAACGCGACAAAAATAAAAATATATATCTAAATAATTTTAATAAATTGCATATGTTTAGTAATATTGCGTACAATAATATTAATTTAATTAAATACTAATAATTTAATAATATTATATATACAATAATTTAGTAGTGATTAATATGTGTTTTTTTATTTATATATATTTATACATATTTTTTTTTTAAGAAAAGACTATGTATTTTTTTATGTACTCTTTGTTTGCATAAATGCAAATATTAGATATTTTATTATCTTATCGGTTGTTTGTTTTACGTCAAAAATTTCTTTTTGTTTACACGTAGTGTAAACCTTTGACCTTTTTTACGTACATTCGACCATGAATATCGGTGATGTCTGTAATAACGCTCGGGATGAGATACACGCAAATTGTTGAAGCCGAGAGTGGCGAGAGCCGAATCTTTTACTCGCGTGAAGTTACGAGCGCCGTGGGAGTGCTCGCGCGAGAGAGAAAAACACTTCTTTCCCGCAGACTTTTCTCGTCTAATCCGTTCCGCCCGTCCGACGCAACGAAGTTGGATGAGAACGCGCGACAAAGTAACGATACCCCCGCGCGGTAATTTCACGGATTAATCAAGAGAGTGTTGCGCGAAGTCTCGGACGCGCATCGTCCGGAATAGACGCAACAAGTATCCCCCTCCCTCCCCCCCCCGTCTCTTATCTCGCGTTGACGTTCTAATACAAAGACGCGGGGGACATGCGGGACAGCTGCACGGAGAAGTTAATTTTTGATCCGGTTTATGTTACGAACTACGCGATGTTATCACGCCGCTAACTGTTCCCCCGCGATAAATAAACTGAAAAAAAAAGTACACACAGCAGCTATCGTTAGATACTTTCGACGAAGCGTTGAAACATATATTTGCGCGAATGCAACACTTTGATTGCACAGTTTCACTGAGATACGATATTTTCTTATTTTGCCACACGCACTACCAAGTATTGAACAAAGGTCAGAGGTCAGAGCAAAATATAGACATTCGCGCGATCAACGGATTATGAGATTATATATTGACTCGTATCGGGGTGGGCAGAGCTGGGATATAATTAGCACATAATTAAACGATTTGCGCGATTCTTGTACGCCATTCGACACACCCACTCCTTTGATACGTGTGTGTGTGTGTGTGTATCATACATATATAAGTTGGCACAGCACCTTTGAAAAATTGAAGTTCTGGCAGCAGTTCTATATACGCGCGAGCAATAGTTTTTTTTTCTATAATTATTGATAGAATTATAGAATTGATAGAATTTTAGAACAATTTTCGGTCTGTAACCACTTTTTGAAATGTTTAAGCTGGCACAGCTTCTATATATACGTAATAATAGATGTGTATTAGTGTACGTGTGTACATATATAAGTAAAGAGTTCTAGAGTCAACAATTCCATTTAACTCATTTATGTTGCGTACACGTAAATCCATCGCTTCTGTTGCGGGGGTGAGAATTATTGCGAATAATTAGCGCTGCTGTTTCCCTTGGAACGCGCGTGGGTTTCCATTTAATTTGCGCGTCTAATCGAGGAGAGTACGTACTTACACGCGAGAGTACACCTACCTACCCCTGCGAAATGTGTTCTCTAATGGCCGAACTTCGTGGAAAATATATGATTTAAAAAACAAAAAAAGAGACACAGAGGAGATAAAATTGTACTAAATACTATTGACTAACTATCTAAGAATAATTAGCTTCTCTCCATCAACGATAAGAATCTCGTTTGCAATAATAAACTGATTCGCATCGGAAAGACACACCGATTTTGAAGACGCAGCGGTACTCACCCTTCGCAGGTGATGATGCCGTAATGCAAGCCGGTCGCCTTGTCCTCGCAGATCATGCATATCATAGGCGTCTCGTCCTCTTCGTGTTCTTGGGGCGGCATGGGAGGCGCCGGCGGAGCCACCGAGATCGACTGCGAGGCAGCCTCGGACTTGATGACGGTGCCGCCGTTGCTGACCCAAGGTTGCGCGGCGGAACCGGAAGCTGTGAGATTCAACGCTTGCATTTGCTGCGCCGCCGGCAGCTGCGTGAGATCGCCGGCCCACAGCCTCTCCATGTTGAGCGGCGGACCGGCTGCGGACGAGTACGACACCACGCTGGAGGAGGACGAGGAGGAGGGCGGTTTACCACGGGACTCTTGGCCCAGGTTCAGCAGCAGTTGCGCTTCTTCCGACGAGGAACACGAGGCGGCCGCCGCCGCCGTAGCTGTCCACGACGCCGCCGAAGGTGGTGCCGGTTCCAAAGGGGGCGTCGACCATATCATCGTGCGGACGCCGCCGATCTCGCCCATCAGCACCGAAGGCGGAGGTCGCGGTGGCGCCGGCGTTGCTCTCTGCGTCGGTGGTTTCATGCCTTCGCCTGTCGATTGATAAGACCATTGTGACGTTATGTATGTTCGCGTATTTGGATTTTTTTTTTTTTTTTTTTTAATAGAAAAAAGATGGATTTTTTTTTTAATTTGAAGATAGTAACGCAATAAGTAATCAAGATATATCAGATAGGAACGGACAAAAGTTAGAGACAAAAAATTAAAAAAGATTAATTTTAAATACTAATTGAGATACTACCTGAAGTCACCGTGGTGGTACTGCCAGTAGTTACGCTGGAACAGCCGGAGCTGGTACCGGAACTGGTGGAGATGTTCTGGCCTCCGTAATTGACGGCACTGCTAATAACTCCGTTGAATAGCCTCTGCGTGGCGAAACCCTGTACACCGCCGGTGTTCTGCGACCAGAATTGATGGTGGGCGAGCAAATGCGGCGGTACCGAAGGCGCACGTGGTCTCGGCGGCGTCGGCGAGGTCTGCGGTGATTGCTGTTGCTGTGTGGGCCCGTGCGAACCGACAGTACCAACCGGACTGACGCTCTGGCTCGGGTTAAATTGAGACGACGGGCTGCTCCTGTGACTAGGCTGGCTGGAGGTTTCCGTACGACCGCCACTGCCACCGCTGCCGCCACCACCACCTCCTCCTCCGCCGCCACCTCCACCTCCATCGAAGACCGAATTGTCAGATTCCTCCTTGGTCTGGACGGATGACAGATCGCCTTTGATATCCGGGCTTTCGCTCCTCGAGGTAGCCTCCTGGGTCATCGGGGTTGAAGAAACTGTCTGAACCGGCGAGTAAGGCGACGATCTCGTGGGTGCGGGTGTGCCAGAGCGTTGATGCTGTTGCTGCTGCGATTGCTGATGCTGTTGCTGCTGCGATTGTTGATGGTGTTGCTGCTGCTGCTGCTGCTGTTGTTGTTGTTGTTGTTGTTGTTGTTGTTGTTGTTGTTGGTGCTGCTGCTGCTGCTGCTGCTGCTGCTGTTGTTGCTGCTCTTCGGCGACCCTGAAGCTCACTATCGGACCGGCCGTATCCGGGAAGACCGAGTCGGGCGACGCACGGTCGGAGCACGCCGCGTCACGACCCTCCTGACCGCTTCCTCTTCCGCCGCATCCACCGCCATCACCGCCAGTTCCACGAAGCGAGTCTCCTCCGCGAGGTGTTCCCGGACTCGGACTACCCAACAGGTACTCGCTCGTCACTCTGACCACGGGGCAGCCCGGCGAGCTCGGCATGTTCGCTTCCGGCGACAGGGTTGAGGTGTCGGCCATGCTCTCCCCTGGAGCAGGAAAGTTTATGGGTGAAGGTGCGTCCGCCGGCTGGTTCCCTTGCGGCGAGCCTGCTGATCCGAGGGATACCGGGGAGTCTGAGAAATAAGGCGTTGGTCTCACGTTTATACTCGGACTGCAGAGAATCTGCCGCGACAGGACGCGCGTTTTGTTTCTCTATGTCTCCGAACATAGAATGACGATGACGAGAACGTAACGGAAGTCGTTACACGCATCCGAGGGTTTTGCATCAGTCGATAAAATCGAATGCTACACGGAGGGGCGGGGAGAAACGGGAGAGAATCGGCATCGCGAAGAATTGGAGCAAAGTTAATGAACGTTGCACAGTCGATCGCATGTGCGACTAATTGGCGGCACGAAGTGCGACTTGGGGAGAATGAAGGTGAGATAATGAGCTGTGATGGGATGTGTGTTGCATCCCCGCGCGACGATGAAGCGACCTACATCTTCCTCGACGGATATTCCGGACTACTAGTCCAAGAGTGATGAAAATTTCAAAATACCCCGGAGAGAATGTATGAAACAAACGGAGAATGTGTATATAGGACGACTTTCTTTAACTTTTAAGAGAAAACGGAAGAAAAATGGCAAGAAAATATGCAGAAGAAACAACTAAACGAGAAAGCTTTCGTTGTGTTTGTGTGTGTGTATTATGTCTCTCAATGGTAAACAATATCATTTATATAATCAAGAGATTAACCGGAGTAAAAGGGAGTAAATAATTGGGCCATTGTTTTGTTCATAAAGTCATTTAATGGAAAGCCATGAGCAGCTGGCGAAATTGCGGACGATATCACGACAAGAGGGAGAGAGAGAGAGAGAGAGAGACGAATTTAGAACGTATTACGTCCGATTACGCCGCTCTCGATAAGCAACCGATCGTTATGCAATCCCGGAACGTGCATCAATATAACAACGATATTGTTGTGTGTGTGTATGTTTATACGCGAAGTATAATAGATCGAATAAAAATAGTGCCTTCCATAATAGATTCCGATACACGTGAGAGACGTGATAAGTCGGCGCGCGATCCCGCCGCGCCTACAAATTACCTTTGCGCTCTCCCGCAGAGAGATACTCCGAGTTATTATGTGTGTTCGCGTGATAAACACTTTGAGTTCGGCCGGTTTACTCCGTCGCATTTTATCCGTAACGAAACATTAGTCGGAGGGCGCGGACCGCGCGATCGATCTCTCTCTAGTTGGGTAACACAGTCGGTTCTTTCTCTCTCGGGACATTTAGATCTCGAGAGACGACGAATCGATAATTGGGGAAACCGCGAGTTTACGGGTCAAAATACGTATTGTTAAAAAAATTGTTGTTGCATTTAGGTGTTTTCTGAAGTATATTTTTAATAATTTTCTCTAATGTGGATTTTACTCATTACGTTTTTTTTTTTGCTTCAATGATTTTGCAACATATTCTCACATCAGAAAAATCACTTGTTTTATGTACAATACAAGGAAAAAAAGGTTTCGTTTTATTTATCGATACACGGTCGATTCTTTTGCAACTCGCGAACTCTCTCAAAGTTCGGTGCTTTCAAAAGCGTGTACATATCGCGTGTTGTAGACAAAATAATCGCGCGCGCCGCGGCTTCAATAAATTCAAATGCTCTCCCTTTCATTGTTTCTCGCGCGCGTTTTATGTTTACGACTTAATTATCTCACTTTGCTCACGTAGCGTTTTTTTTTTTCGCGAAAGCGAGATTTGAAATATCAATCGCGGATTAGGCAATGATTGAAATTGAACGCGATGAATGAATCCGGCAGAAATTTCTGGTGCGCGATGTCGCAACGGAATTGTCTCTGAGGAACATGTTTTAAAGATACAGAAAAAAAGAATAATTTTTTTTCAGATCAGTACGAATTTACAAAAATTTCAACGTTAAACTAAATTTGGTACAAAAGAGACAAGAAAATTGCGTGGGACGTTTTTCTACACGTCGAGCGCGTTTTTATTTCAACGAACAAAGAAAAAAGAATCACACACCACAGAGCGAAACAAAGTGTAACAATCGCTGAACGGTTCTTGTCGCGAAAAGGATGTTGGTGACTATACGACTGCTGTAGGTCAAGGAAGGAATGCAGTTGACAAGGCCGGGCTGTGATTGCGGGTACTTAGGTGGCAGTTTCCGAGCTATTAATAGGTCGATCGCCGTGGACATTGGTCGAGTGCGGATTATTCATTCGCAGACTCTCTTAATATGTCGATATATCGAGAGATATATCGCGAAATGTGTTTCGAGCAACCGCCGCGCGTATGAAAGAGAGATCAATTTGGATCCTTTTTCTTTTTTTTTTTTTGTACAAATCATTTATAGTTGCGCCCGTCCCTCTTTCGTCAGGCAATTAAATGTTCCGCGCTTGTATGTACGTTCGCGGCGCTCACCTATCGAATCTGACAATCGGTCGTTAGTGTTAATGATTCGCGATGTGTGAGTGACAATGTAATGCACAATTAACGCAACGATCAAAGACTGTCTATCGCGACGGGGACGTTGATCTTTCGTTATTGATAGCGAAATTTTTCAAGACACTAGAGCTAGTAACGTAATATAATGTGATTAAACATATATATATATTTATATATATAGAGTTACGCAAGACGCGTCACTTTCACCGCTTCCTTTCACTCGCTCTTTTTTTCAATTTCTCCTGGCGGGATCGATCTTCTCGAGTGAAAAAGTTGAAGAACACAAAAAGTGACGTGGTGTAAGCAATATAAAATAGAGAACTTTAGCAAATGTCTAAAAAGTATATCAAAATATGGTTACGGAGTTCTCGTTGCGATATTTTTTTTTTTTTAAACACACATTGAAACTCGTCGGAAAAGATTTTGCGCGAAACAAGCGCGAGAAATAATACAACGAAACATTTTTTTGTTTTTATATTCATACCGATCAACGACGCATGCAAGGTCTCCGTGTTCAACTTGTAATAGTTGAAGTTGGAATGCGAATAGTTCATGAGCTGCGATCTGAAGTAGTGCCAGAAGTAGCAGTAGCTCTGATAAGAGCGCATTGAGAAGTTGTCGTAGGGATGGTACGCGGTCGAGTACGGCAGATATCTTCTTTCCTGATGCATCCTGCTCCGTTGAGTCGTTGGATCCACAACCGACGGTAAATTCCAGTCTTGCCAGTGAGAATTCGCGACGACGAAAACGTTGCTTCTCACGGGATACATGTTTGTTTTTCCTTCGAATTTTGTTTGCGCGGCTTCGGAATGTCGCTAAATAATCGCGATTGATATATTCTCACACAAGTTCTTTTATATTATATACAAAAATTATAATCAGTCAATGTATTTTTCTTTTTTTTTTTAATCCTTTTTATTGATTGTCGGAGAAGAGACGTCGTTTTGCTGTCAATTAAACGTTGGCACAAAATTCGAGACTTTTTTTATGGCTGATATGTTTATTTCTTTCGAGTATAAACACACACCACGTATACACACACACATTTGTGCTAATCTTAAAGTACACGAACGATCGATCGCGCGTTCGGTGCAAAGTGACATCGGAATTATCACGTTCGCGTCGAAAAAAAATCAAGTTCGCGTTCGAACTTCCGTAAAATTGGACTAAAAAAAATACAATAGCGATATATATACAAAAGATGTGAAGCTCGTTTTCTTTGAACGCGAATAGGCCGTTCGACTAAACCAGGAACGTCACTACTTGGAGATGTCTAAAAATCACTTGGGATTTGCGTGGCGAAGCAAGTGATGTACCGTTGCTTTGATCAGCCATCGTTCTCTCCGCTCTGAATTCTCTCTTGTGTACGTGCGACATCATCTTTTGCGCGATCGACAAACATGTTTTCACAGAGAGTATCTTCGCAACAAATTAATATTAAAATCCTCTCTTCTATCTTTTCTATCTCACATCCGTTTCTTGCGAGAAAATAACTCTTGAAATTGCAATTACTTGTTTATTTATACACAATCATCATTTCTATGTGTGATCTTTATTATTAGCATTACGGTCGGGTAATCGCGACAAGAGTCGATCGTTCCCGCCTGTAGTATATCGCGGGATCTCGATGAATATCGATCAAACGTATCGATCGCGCGAGCGGCGCGCATATACGCAGTACAGAAATTCTCGTCAGAACGATCATCTTACGATTCCCCGCGCGAGCGCCGCTCGCAGTGGCCTCGCACGGACAATTGCGTCGTACACTCGTTGCGTCGTTGAACTCTATCGCGTTCACGTGCATGTGTTGCGTCGTCGACCACGAAAGATCAATGATTCCGCGCGACCGTCAGTCAGTCGCCGGAGCGCGTTTTCTTCGCGAAAAACCGCGTTGCGCTCGATACGTCATCGAAACTACGCGTAATCTGTGCCGCTTCGCCTTTTCTTTCTCTCTCTCCCTCTCTTTCCGCAGATTTCTCTCCGCGGTTTTCAACCGCGCTTCCTCTCACGCAAAAAAAACTGCGTCTCGTGGCCGACAAACAGTCTCTGACCTTTAAACCGACCGTGGGACGAGGGTCATTGGTATCGGTCGTGTTTGCGAGCGCGTCGAAAAATCGATTCAGCCCGGTTGTGTGCAGTGGCCGCGGCGGCAACTCGATGACGTAACACGCGCGATCCTCTAGCGCGGAATCGACATCGTTAAATTCGTCAGACGCGCTGTCATCTCCCGGTTTTTCTCGTCACTTTCCATTCTCTCTTTCTCTCTTTTTTCTCTCAGTCGTCGAGACTCACACGCGCGTTGTTGTTTTATACAAGCGATTCACGTCTGCGCGCAATTTTACGCGGGTTAACTGTTGCCGAACAAGCGCGCGTGACAACGACGGACGGCCGCGTGGTTAACGCGAGTTCAGGCGAAGCCGAACTACCGCCGGTGCACGTCCGGGACGACCGCGTGGGTTGATATTCAACCCTGCACCGCTGCCAGCAACCATCCCGACTCCTTCCGCCCTTCCCTTTTCTCGTTTCGTCTCTCTCTCTCTCTCTCTCTGTCTCTCTGTCTTCTCTCTCTCTCTCTCTCTCTCTCTCTCTCTCTCTCTCTCTCTCTCTTTCTCTCTCTCTCTCTCTTTCTCTTTCTCTATCTACGTCGCGCGCCACCCACACGTATCAACCTCTGCTCTCCCGCGCCGACAACCCTTCCTCTCTTTCCCTTTCTCTGCCTATCGTTCGAAAGCTGCCGTGAAGTCATAGCAAGAAGACGTAATGCACCGCGCTTTGCTTGCATCACGAATGGTCATTGCGATTCAATGAAGGAATATAGAGAAAACAAAGGGGAAAAAGAGAGAGACAGAGAGACAGAGAGACAGAGAGAGAAGCAAAGCGTGTGCGCAGGACGGTAAATCGAGAGACTGAATGAAGAGCGTGAATGGTGGGTCGAGTGTGTGACGAAGGGTTGGAGAACATACGCTCTCGCGCCGTGTTCGATTTTCTCCCCGCGAAGCGGAATTACACGTTAGCGGGGCAACGCAATGCAAATACGTGGCAATTTATTTTATATGCAACAGCGAACAAACAATAGTTATAGATGCGTACACAAGCACCACGCCGCTGCGCGGTCTGAGCAGATGTTATTTGCAGTTAAGTGGAAATGAAGTCCTTGCGTACAAAGGGAATACGGATAATCACAGTTAAGAATTTATTAACGGAGGAAGTTCTCTCTCTCTCTCTCTTTCGCTGAATATTTAACAGTATTCCTTCTAATGAACTCGATTGTACATAGAAAACAAATGAGATTGTTTCCGCCACCTGTTTGCAGCGCAATCTTGAAGAAATTGCTCTCCGCTAACGCGATGACGATAGTTTGTTGACTCTAATTCCGAATCTGTGGGTTCTTTGTTGTCCGGCATCTTTTTCGAAACTCTCTCTCTTTGAAAATTGTTGAAATTTAATTATGTAAAAATTATTTTTTCGTTAAACAAACAACACATCGGTAGACACTTGAAAAAAGTTGCCGGATGTTTTTGCTTAAAAAGTTTTTGTTTAATATTTTAAAATCAAATAAAATGCGTCAGATCCACGGTTCATTTTTAAAGTGAACTTCTGCAAACCAAACAAAAAAAAATGGTTAGAATTTTATCATGAAAATAATAATTAATATCATGAAAAAAGTTGGCGCATCGTGTTTTGTGCAAACGTATTTTTATCGCGTTGAAAGGCTTGCGCGATAAGCTCTGTCATTTTCAAGATACTTAATTCCGGTTGCATTCTGTGTACGAATATGTACGTGCCGTTCTATACGTACGAGTTCAACAATAGTTCTGACGTGCGCAAGTCAGTTCCAGACTCGGCACAATAAAGTACCAATTTCGAATATAACGCACACGTGTAATATTAATGCGCGGGACGCGGCGCGTACGTAATGAGGAAAATGCAAAGTACATATATCGGAGAAACGCGGCGTTTAGATCAATCGGTGGATACGAGGATACTGTGTTGAATTATTTTTACGGAACATTGCGACCGTGTCTCTTAATCAATCTGCGATTGCATATCGGCTGCAAACAATACGTCACCGTGAAATGAAGGACGATTAGAAATTGGATTAATTAATGAGTGAAAAAAGAACAACTGTGAATACCGTTTGAAATTAACAGTATTTCGAATATTCAATCAACGACACACGTATGTGTACGTGTAGAGACGTCAAGTGTTGCCCGGGAAACTTTCTTGGCCGTGAAAACGAAACCAACAAGCAAAAAAAAAAAATAAATAAATAAACCACGGAAGCAAGTCTCTAGCAATAATAAAACCTTAAGTAAGTTTGAACTTTCCTGCTATTTGTATTAAACTTTTAATATTTTTCTCGTCTACATAAAAGTGTTGCATTTATTTTTTGTAAAAGTTTATTTTGTTATTTTGTTTGCCGTCAACATACTTTATAAACCGGATATTATTTAAAACTACACACTCAAAGGAATTAACATACGTTAAAATTCCATTTAAATCTGACCTGGTTCGACACTTAACACATTGCCGGCGGGTAATTTTTGACGCGTATTTTATAAAAACGAGAAATCTCGTTTTCGCGTCGGCAATGTGTTAAATTTAGAAACACAAGTGTTTTATATGCGTTTTTGTTTTGTTTTGTTCTACATAAATGATTTCCAAATGACTTTATTGTATCTGTTCTTGCAATCTAACGCGTGTCTCACAAGTCATATTTGTTAACATTTTGTTTTAGAATTTTTTATTTTTGAAAGCTTGAGCTAAATATATTAAAAGATTTTTGTACTATTCTAAAAAATTTAATTTCTTTGTTGCAAGGAATTTGGTAGAGTGAAAAACGCCACAAAGATTTAATGAATGAATAAGCATAGAGAATATGGATACAAATAATTGGCTTTTTTTTGTTTCAAAACAAAGCTTCCAGTACTTTTATATATTTACCACTCGTATTTACTATCGTCGTACTCTGGCAATTAGAAATTCTGCATGTTTCTAGAATATTCAATTATAAATTTGCAATTTTTTCCCGTCTTTTTAAACCGCTTCCGCTTCCCGAACCTTTAAAAACCGCAGATCCGAGGAAAATCCTGTTCTCTTTCTTTCCCCGTCTCGATTGCATACGCACGTGTGTTTCATGTCTCTATTTATCTCAATAATGAAACAACCGTATTTGTCAATCTTTCTACGTAAAGTGGAAAAGATTAATTGCGCCGTATTGTGACAAAAGAACATTGTCACATTTGTCATATGAAACTGAGAGATTGTAACACACGCGCTGTTCCATTACCAAGCGCTAAATAATCGTTACGTGCTCGAATACCGGTCAATTTTACAACTCGTTCCGCGTAATCTCAATATGAAAAGATCGGTCAGTGCATCGTAATTCGCTTTGACAATTGATATACGAGCCTTCCCGCGCGATTACGTCAACCATTAGAATCGAATCTAGATTCTACTAGGCGATATCTTGCGTTCCAATCGAGATCGATATATCTTCATTAATTTCGTTTTTTTTTTTTTTTTTTTTTATCATCACGAATGGTTGCCGCGAATCGAGATGCTTTAACGGGGAACAATTTCAGCGTTGAATCGAGACAAAATATGGGAAAAATGTCAGGTCAAATTAATTTTACATGCATTCGAATTTTTTATTCGTTGTTGTGACACACAGTGACTCAGATTTCTTTGCGCGCATCGACGATGTAACGTTTATTATCTCTCTCCTGTTATTTTTTTCTCTGTCTGAACTCAAAACGTAAATATTTTCTGTAATGAGAGAGATAACAAACGTAATTAGAAATAGAAAGAATTATAATAATCGCAACTTTCGAAAGAGAAACAATTTGTCATTTTTATAATATCTATCGATTACGTAATCAAAAAACGCGCATGAGTCACTCGCGCACATCTTCTCAGCTCTTACCGTCACTACTACATCGGGAATCGACCTTTCTCCTTTTCAACTTGAGGTCTTGAAACAAGCTCATGTTGTCTATCTCACACGGGCTGCTCGGAAGGGTCATAATTCCTGAAAAAAAAAACAAACAAACGTGATATTAATATGTATTAAATAAATATTAACATAAATATTAACATTCGTGTCGTGTTGCGCTTTTTTGGATTGATTTTTGTTTGCTAGCCGTTCGATTTGAATTAACTTCGTTCTTTGAAAATGAATAAAAAAATATCAGAAATATGTTGAAAACTAGTATTGAACTTGCAATTGCACGCGAAGCAAATTCCGCGCGCAATTTCACATAGAACGTGATATAAAACGATTGACGCGTGCTGTTCAATAAATTTTTTTTTTATATTCATTTATTCACTGGAGAAGATTCAAGAATCGAAACGTCTGATCGCATTTTGTAATAAAATCATGTCTTCAAACACGGACATCCTGTGCCCATATTGATCTCTATTGGCCCTTTATCTACCATTGACTGTTCAATAAACTCGCTGATGTGCAAGTACTCGATTCTCCGAATGTTACACCATCGCAAAACTTGATCGCGAACACAGTCGTCGACAAAAATTCGCGGACCATGTCAATTTAACTTGATGCATTTCTCCATCAACGAAGACGCTTCTTCTCTCGGGCAAAGCTCGTAGTTGCAAATAGAGATCGGTTTACGGCGCGAAACGCGTGTGACGCGTACACACGTGTTTGCGCGCGTCCGCGATGATTATGGGCGGACGCGCGTAGTTCGCCATTAACCCCGCTTTAGCCGGCAATAATGCACAATTGGATCGGTTGCATGTGGAGAACGATGCGCGTGCATATATCGTTTCGCTCGCGGTGCGAAACCGACGCTTTCTGGTTTATGAGAGGGTTTTTCTTCTCGCGCGGGTCTCTCTTCGAAGAACGTCGTTACGACGGAGCGTAATGGAATAATTGCGATATACGCGGACCTCTCTCGACGGTCGTCCGCGTTGTTTCTTCTCGCTCGGGTTACGACGAACCAGTTTTTACGAGCGCGCGCGCTTGATCTAGCGCCGGGACTAGGGTTCGCGAGAGGCAACCGCGCGGGTGCAACATGGGTCATTTTAATAATGCAACGTCTGGCGATAATGACAAATCGCGAGTCGCCATAAGACCGCGACGGCGGTGGGGAGGGGGAAAGAGGAGGGAGTAATAATAATTGCGTCGTTTGTCAAAAAGAGATCGGACGTCTGAGCGCTGTTTTACGACACCTCGACCTAAAACCTATGACATGGATTGTTTTAATAAGGGCGATGATACCGCCGCGTGTCAATCATGCGAATTTGTCACACTGAGACGCCGGTCTTTGTTTCGAGAAACGCTGCGCGCGACGCTTACGCGGTAGTCGCGATAATTCAAATCTCACGGTGCAGTCTGCGATTCGTTCAAAATCAATAGTGCGATCGTGTGACCACAATTTTATAATATTTATAAATATTTATCATACTCAACTCTTCGCGGACAGACGTGGGTCTTCCAGACCCGCTCAAAAATTGCGCACGGCGTTTCCAGTAAAAATTAGTTTTTTTAACGTTTATCTTCAAAACTAGCACTAACTTTTTTTCAATTTGGTTTTTTTTATCAATGCAAAATCGGTCAAACTTTCGATTAAAAAAAAACAAAAAACAAAAAACAAAATTGAAAAAAAATATTGATTTTTCGCGAAGATATTCGATTTTGAATTCGCGCGTTTCTTACGGACCCAGTCCGTTTAACTGGTCGTCATTTTTAAAGTCTGTCCACAAAGGGTTAATATTTAATATATTTATAATTTATATTATAAAAATATATTTACTTAATATATTTATATTTATATTATAAAAATATTTATATCGGTATAAAGTATACATATATTACAAATTTGTTTGATCTTTAAACAAATACTATCGGAATTTTATTTTTATCTCAACAAAAGCATATGTGACGCAAGCATTGTTTTTATTATTCATCGCAGATCTCAGTCTCTAACTTTTGACGATATTTATAGTAGTGTATCAAGTACGGTAACACATATCACGTAATATATATTTACGTGTAATAAGGCGGTTGTGTTTGTTGTGATAAGGATATAAGCGAAGCGTTCATCTCAAGATAGACACTCCGTTCTCTTTTCATTTAATATCATCGTGCGAACTTCTCTCTTACAACCAATCTCGGCGACATTAATGTCCCGTAACATTGTTTCTATTCCGAGGTTTGTTTATTTTGGCTTGTTGAGGAAACTTGTGCTCCCTGTGTGAACATACCCCTCTTTCCCCACTTCCATCAGTGGTAAGTTCATCCACCTCTGAGAAGCAAGAGTTGCGTTTAGAGACGATCTCTACGTTTTAATTAACATCGTTCAGCAAATCATTCACTTAATTTGTCGTTGGTCTACTGTGTGCGTATGACTTTTGTAGGTTATTATATACCACTTGAAACTCTTACCTATAGACAGTAACGCAACTTATATCTCGGTGTAAAAATTCTTGGCCGAATGACGCAACACGTCATAAATGACTTCACGCGTGAACATATATACTTCTCGCGATTGACCTTTCGTCAAATTCTTCTCTCAAAAATTCTCTCATTTCTAAGATTAAGAATCGTGAGAGAAAAAACGGAATCGAAACTCTTTTTCTCGATGTTACACGGAAATTTTCTGTAAAACCACTATGTTAATTTTATGAAAACTGCAATAATTTGAGAAACGTGTTTAATCAGTCGCGTAACTGCTAGCGAGCGTGTGTGCAATGCGCGCGCGCGACGCTAGATGGCACGCGTTAAAGCTACAAGAGTTGGCGAAGCGCATCCACGCTGCAAGGCACGCATGTGCACATCGCGTTCTCTCTCTCTCTCTCTCTCTCTATCTCTCTCTCTCTCTCTTCTCTCTCTCTCTCTCTCTTCTCTCTCCCTCTCTTCGTGACGCACACACACGCTCGCTCGGTCGAGTATACATGGTGCTAGCGCGGGGTCCTTGCTCTCTGCCGTATGTGGGTCAGCAGTCTCACACACGCCGCTATTCTTGCGTAACCAATGCATGCATACGGCCGCGCGCGCGCGCACCTCACGCGAAAGAGCCCGCGCCGTCGTCGCTGCGCCGCGACTGGCGTACGTGTGTGTATGTGCACGCGCGCGTGTGTGTGTGTGGAGCATACGACACACACAACGAAACGGAAAGTGCAGCCAATGCACTAACCTACGACGGTCTCCTCTTGAGAGAGGCCGCGGTGTCACGCGTGTGCGTATTCGTGTATGCGTGCGTGCGTGCGCTTTTGCCGCGAGTGCAAGAGCGCGGCCGTCGCCGAGGCTCAAAGCCACGCGCAAAGCTCGTCTCTCTATCTTGGCGACGACGAGCGTGCTTCTGTACTCGTTAATAGAACATCGCGCGCGGCAACTTGCTCTATTTGCGCGAAAGTCTGCGCAAAGCCGCCGTTTCCTTCCGTTTCTGCAAAACGAAACAAGTTTCTGCAACAAGGTTGGGGATGTGTTTTCGATATATATCGAAATAAGAGTTTTTCGAGATTAAATCGCGCGGGGAGGGGTTACGAGATAAACAAACTGTAATATCTCGAAGAAAAGAAGTGGAAAATAAAATCGTATTATTATCGACGATAAAAATCGACTCGATTCGGTTCTGGGACGCGAGCTCCGTTTATAGAACAAGACGTTTTGTACTTCTTCTACAACCGTGTGTTGTTGGTTTTACCGTTATGAGGACCGCGGACGGTGAAAGTGACTCTCCCACGCCATGACATCCTAAGTCTGTAACTCCCCCCTCCCATCCCTCTTCTCCCTTTTCGTTGTCCGCTTTTCTATATCGCATAGACGATAGTCCTCCGTTCTCCTCCTCCTCTCGTCCTCCTTCTGTCGCGGTTCTCATCGCGGAATACCGTTTCGTCATTGATTCCTGACGTGTTTTATGTTTCGGATCTTGATTGCAATAGCGATTCATCGCGTGAGTAAAGTTCAGAGGATCGAATCGAAAGACGATTCTTCGAATCATATTTTTTTTTCGGAAACACAATTGTCGCTCTCTGTCGAATGACTTTTTTTTTGGAATTGATTTTTATTAAAGTTCATCACAATACACATTTAATTTGCTTGTATGTTGTATACATTACGATCGATTTCGATTTCAGATTTTATCGCATTTCTATTTCTATTTGTATTCTCCCTCCCCTCACCCGCCCATCTCTCAGCGTGGCTAAAAATACTCGAATTTATCACGGAAAGTGAAGCGTGTGTGCGTGTGTGTAGCTAAACAATAAGCGACTGTAAGTTGACTCACTTTTTTGACTCGTGTGTCCGCGCGCGACACCGTTATGTGAAAAGATAAATTAACGCTTATCTAAGCAAGTCCACGTTTATGGCCCATGATTATACGACGAAGTGTCTCTCTTAGCATACCTTAAAATCGCTTATCGGCGGAAAGAGGTCATCATTACGCGTATCTTATTTTTTTTTTCTTTCTTTCTTTTTTTCTTTTATCGGAGTTAACGGTTAACGAGAAATCATTGCGGCGAGCGCAATCTGTTGAAAGTGGTGTGTTACACGTGTATTAACAAATTGAATCAGCTGTTGGCATCAGCTCCTCAAATAACACGAGGTGTGTTTTACAAGTCAGATTTTTATCTCTCTGCTTTAAAATGTGATTTTATACAATATATATCTCGAAGGAGGAGAAGGAGAGACGAAAATCCACTTTTTTATTTCTCTTCTCGCGGGAGGAGGGCGGGGGAATTTCAAACTCGTTTCACACGCGCGCGTGTCGATACATCAGCGTGCCGACGACTCAATTCGCTACTTAAAGGGTCAGATTCCTCTGATTACTCCGTGTCTCGTTGTCCATACAATGTAGAGCCCAGCTGCTCTACCCCGGCCTGTCAGAATCCAATCTTGATCTCGTTCATCCAACTTTCTTTTTCTCGTCGACGGCGACAGATGAAACGAACGAAGAAACGAACGAGCGAGCGAGCGAGCGTCTTTGCTTCCGCGAACATTCATCGTAAATGCACAGTAGTGAATAGCCGATTTAGAAATAGAGGTGATTCAACTCCTCTCTTGCCGCATAGAAATATTCTCTTTGCCGGTTTCTCAGATAAATAAAGATGAACGGCGCTCCCTTTTGTGCGATCGAATACGGTCGAACAAATAGTAGCAAAAATTATAATAAGTCGCTAGAAATAATCACCCGGCCGGGTCTGTTTGTCACCGCCCGGTTGAGCGAAAACTCAGCCGGGGATACATTGCAACGCGTTATTTAAACTCGAGACGCGACACACGTTTTTGCGCCTCTCGAGAAAAATGTATAAATATTTAAAACTGTGATATCGTACATTGTTTGATAAATGTAGGAAGAGAAAAAACAGAGCGAGGTGCAACGTTGTCGAGATTCATCGGGAGATGCGCTGTATCTCGCGCGGCCTATTATCGCGCTCCAAAACAAAAAAAAACTTAATATTTTGCAAGAAAGTTTCCGATACAACGAGCAAAACTGCGACTAAAACGACGTCGTTCGTTTCCGTCGACTTCCGCCGTGGAGTAAGAATCTCGTATGTGATCGTCGAGAGAAATTTCTCTTTTACGTTTCCGCGACGACGAAGTCGCGGTTCACGTTCGCGAAACAACACAACACGGGTGCGACGCGTATCGCCTCGCGATTTGTTCTCGAAGACGAGCGGGAGAAGGAGAGAGAAATGGGAGACACCCGGTATGTGTGTGTCAGATGCTCGGGCGAGCAGCGAGAACGGCGGCCAGTGAGAGTCGGCGGCTTGGTACGTTGAACCTCCGTAGTGAAAGTTTCTATTATAGCACTGGCCTTACCTTACTTTTCCTACGGCAAGCTCTACCGTGTTGTGTCATAAGCGCGAGACGAGCGAGCGAGCGAGGCGAAGAACGATCGAGATCGGTTACGCTCGTTCCTCCGTTGTCGTCGTCGACGTCGCGCGCGACTTTAACGGGACATCGTTGGAGAGTTTGTTCTTTTCTTCTTTTTCGGTAATGAGCGGAAGTTGCGCCGCTCGTTTAACTTTTGTACTCTCCGGATTTCCCCGATCGTCGTCGCGCGCCGATCGCGTGCGACCGAGTCTTTTCAATGCAAATTTATTCTCGTGATTACACGCACACACACACACACACACACACGTACGCGCGACGCAATTGACAATTTTGACATTTCCCAAGTGCCGTTATTAGCTCGAAGAAAGTTCGATTTTTGTTTCACGATTCAAGAAATCCGCGGAGATCAATGTCGATCGCGTCGAATCGACCGAACAAGCCGAACGACACGGTTCGCTGATTCGACATTAAGGAAGTCGTGAACGCAGCGCGAAATTACTTGGCCCCTTTTTTTTGTTAGCTTTAGTCAATTTCCGACTTTCTTCCGAGCCAGTGTTGAAGCTAGTTGCTCGAAGCAACACAATAAACGCGAAAATCAATACGATGACAATTCATCGTGACATTTTTGACGTTTTTCGGCGCGCTAAAGTGCGCGAGTTGTTTCAACTTCTTGCCAGAAAATTGAAACAAGTGGATTAACGAGACAACGAAGATCTTCTCAAAACAAAAAAAATCCACAGAAAAACTAAAATTCGCATAAAATAAAAATTAACAAACCAAAAAATTATTATACAATTACATTCGAATACGTCGTAGTAAGACCAACGTGTGACAAAACTTGTCGCTGTGATATATCGGACTAGATAAAAGTTTTGTAACGGGTTTCTTTTTTTTTTTCGAAAAAAGTACACAGAGGAGTAGATCATATAGTTCGCACGAGAGCTTCGCTAGGACGCATTCGTGTCAAGGCGTGATTTATTTCCCGGCGGCGATGGCGCATTCGCGGGGCGCGCGAACAAAGCGTAATTCCGTCGGATCGACGCGACGTACGGATTGCAACACACGCGTCTGTCAACGACGACGCGGTGTGTTACGACAATGCAGGAAGCAGCGAATAAGGCTTCATCGGCGTTCGCGAAAAATCGTGACGAATCTTTTTGATTCGTGCGCGCGCAACTTTTGCAAAGTCACACGTGCGTTACGACACCCGCGGCCAAAAGTTTCGGTCCCCAGGGTCGGGGATTCGGTCTGTGCGATCTTCTCGAGATAATCTCAGAGGAGGAAAGAAACGATTGTCATAAATAAATTTTTGTTTTGTGCAAAAAATATTTTGTACAAGAAAATCAAACAATTCTGTGAAACCCAAGATCGAGTAAATTTTCTCATCCTTTCTTTTTCATCGCGCGGATTGTATCAGACGGGAGATCGCGTACGAGAATTTCCACGATCTGTCTAGTCGAGTCTATTACACTCCATGTACGCAGTCACACTCTGTTGCAATCCGGAGCAAAAGTCCGCGCGCGCGTGAGCGACGTTCCCACCAATCTCGGCGGAATCGCTTGCGCAACGGCCGATAGCGATCGCGTGTAATCTATCGGAGAAAACGCGACGAAGATGAGTACGCTTTGAGGCAGAACGGATTGATTTCCCTTGTTTCCTTCCCCGAATGTGTTGCGCGCGGATCTCTCTCGCGCGCTCTCTGGTCCGATGAAATCGCGTATCGATCATAACGGCCGAACGGACGCGGGGATTAAGATTTATTGGATATATCCTTCCGATAAATACATCGTTCCCTTTCCCTCCCCTTCTCGGAGGGAGGAGGAAGGGAGGGAGTATCAGTAGCGATCGCGCGATATCGCGTTCCGTCCTCGGGGGGGAATATAACCTCGATGAGGTGTGTATGTGTGTGTGTGTGTGTGTGCGTGTGTATTTTCGTGGCGCGCTCGCGCGAGGACACTCTCGATTTAGCGCCGGCGGATTTCTCGTCGCGGCGCGCGAGATGAGACAAATGTGATTTCACGCGCGACGAACGCGATTAAGTTCTCTCGGCGTTGATATTCAGCCGGGCCGTCACAGCCTTTGGTATCGGCGTCAACCGATGGGGAAGAGACTATCGGTTTCGACTTCCCATGCGTCTATATACATACATATATATATATATATATATATATATATATATATATATATATATATATATATATATATATATATCTTTTCTCGCTACGTCGCGGCGCGGAAACGAACGCGGAAACGGAGAGCGCTTTTTCGCGCATTCCGCGTCGGACACGAGTGACGGACTCGACGCAATTGTGATTTGCAATTAGCGAAGCGTGCAATTGTGAAATCGTGTCGCGGTGTTATTGACCCGACCGGGGACGCCGACAAGCTGACACCTCGTTGCACCTCGAAAATCAATTCCCGACCTGGCAGAACTTGTCTCGTTACCGGTCGCTTGGTTTCTACTTAAACAGTTTCGCGCGCCGAACGGCCAACTTGGTACAGCCAATGCGAACGGGGCAATCCTTTGCGCGTGTAACAAAACTTGTCCTTTGAATGAAAAGCGGCGGGTGTGTTGTCGCGCGCGGACAGTGTAGAGAGTTTCGAGAGTATGCGCGATATAGTTTCTCTCTCCTCCTCTGAAAATTTATTGCTTTGATAATAAACGCGTTCATCGATCTGATAATATTTGCAATATATAAAAATTAATATTTATTAGAAATATCAAGCACTAAGTACAAATTTCAGTACACGCGCGCGCGAGTGTGTGTGTCCACTCGAATAATATATATACACACACAAAAATGTGTAAAAACTCGCTCGATTAAATTATCCGTAAAAAAACGTGCGACGTAACGAGTTTGCATTCGCTCGATTTGATATTTCAATTGCGGTTTTTATTACTCTTCGGAGTACTCGGGCAAAGTTTCACTTTAAAACGACACTCTATGCGCGAGCCAGAATCACAATTGCAAGAATAGAACGGGGTCCCTACCTTGGAGGACACTCATCTTCGTGCACATGGGGGAGTGCCGACCTTGGAGGACACTCATCTTCGCGCACATGATAGTGTCGCGCTACAGTGATTCAGAGCAAAGTCAAGCGAAACTGCGAGAGGAACTCCCTGGGCGGGCGCGATGCGCGCCTCGTGCCAACTCTCGACCCACGGCCGCCGCGGTCCCACGTGACACTTCGAGTTCCTTCCTTCAGCTCAGCAATTCGCACAGATACTCGCACCAAAAGTCGCGAACGAAATAAATTATTATTTCGCGCGTGTCTCTTGTGATCTTCCGCACATTTTTCGTCCCACTTACGGCGTCGGTAATAATCCAAACGTGTGAGAGGTGTAACGCGCGTAAGAGTCAATTGCGTCAAAATCAAGGTCTCGCGAGAGAAAGAAAAAGTGCATTGCGGGTTGTTGAACCAGTCCGAAAAAAAAAATCACACTTGCGAGATAGAACTATCGGGCGAAGAAACGGGCGCGCGTGCGGGACTTTCGCGAACAGAGCGGCCCCGGAAGAGAGAAGAAACAGCGGGCGCGCGCGCGGAGGAGCGCCCGATGTGAACGCGTCGCGCGGCCCAAACTTTTTGGGGCAACCGATCGCGAGAGCGCACGGGCCATGCCACGATCCGACAAAGTTGTGGATCCGCTGTCGCGCTGCCGGTAGTGGTGGCACCGGTGACCTCGATACGAACCGAGGCCCCCCAATCCCAACGCCCAATGCCAAAAAACCAACGTGCGTGCGTGCGTATGTGTGTGTGTGTGTGCGCGCGCGCGCGCGCGTCAGGAAACTTTCACTCTCTCGGGCGCCCCACGCGCGACACGAACAACAGCCGGCCATCCTTCGGGAAGTCTGGAAGGATTCTTTCTCCTTTTTGTTTTTTCAGAATTTTTATCGGCACGTAATGAGGGAAATAAAAATTCGATGTTATTCTCGAGCGACTTCGAGCCGCGAGTACACACGTTTCGCATGTTACGATGATAACAAAGTTATTAATGAGATAAGAGCACAAAAATATTTGATACTCTTGTGCGAGAGACTTTCTCTCTTCTTTTCTCTGTCAAGAAGCTAAATGAATCGACATTTAAGAAGAAACACACAAAATATATATAATTTTCGGAGATGAAAATTTTAGAAGTAACAAGCTGATTTGCTTTTTGTACAATATCAGTTTTCTTGTTGATGTAGAGAAGTTCAAGAAGTTGAATTAAAAATAGTTTCGCACGTCAGTCTCGGATGAATGAGAAAACACGATATAGTCCGGTGACAAATTGATACGATATTGAAGAGAACGAAGGTCAAGGACGGCAAGACAAGATGAAACTTCCGTGAAGACAAAGTGATTCCGAAGAACCGGTAATTTTACGATCGTGAATCTATGCGGAATCATCGATATAGATACGCAATCAATTCTGAAGTTTTTTTTTTCTCCGACATATACGTAAATGCCAATACGTTAAAAGAAATCGAATTGTGCAATTCGAAAAGAGATTTTAAAATTTTATCCGCAGCAGTCGCGCCCATTTCGAATCTCTCACTTCGGCGTTTAAATTTCTCGTTTTGTCAAATATCTAGAGTTATTGTTCTTGCATATTGTTGTTGTTGTGTTTTATTTGAATTTGTCTTTCTTGTATAATGTGCGAGTAATTACGTCGTCTCCAAATCCTTGAGCGTGAAGAACTAAATTCCGAATATGGAAACAACGAGCTCGCGAGCGAGTACTTTCGATTCAGTGTTTTTTCTTCTTCTTTTTTTTTTTTTTTTTTTTTTTTTTTTTTTTTTTGTTCTTTTTATTGCGATTTCACTCTCGTTGGTGACTCTTGCGCGATAATATCGAGCGCGTGTTGCGTTCCCGTCCTCACACGGAAGATGGTCCATCGTGCGAGGCCCCGGCAGAGTGAAAGAGGGACACACGCGCGCGCGCGCGCGCGAACGGCCGGACCGCTCGTCGAGTGTTTCACTTTTATTCGATAAGAAAGTAACGAAAGTCGTGCCGATGAAAGTTTCGGGTTCGCCCTCGGTGGAAGGCGACGGTGACGACCCAGATGGACGGACACCTCTTTGAAAGTAAAAGTAAAAGAGCTTTCCCCCCCCTCTCTCCCCAGGACTTTGCGGTGTCCCGTCCATCCAAACCGAGAAGTCGATCCTTGCATCTTAATCCTTTGTATTTAGCGAGAGCCTTGTACGCCGGAGCTATCACAACTAGGTCGTGCGTTAAATTACGAAACTGGCGATATTGGACGCGCGCGTTCGCCGCGTCTTTCACTTTAAAGATATATCTTATCGATTTTATGCGAATATTAAAAAATTGGATTTTTTTTTTTATTATTAATTGCGTTACGTTGACGCTGCACGCTTATAATTCTTTTCATTTACAGAAGAATTTTAGGTCATAGATATAGTCTCTCTTTCTTTCGCTCTCTTTCTCTCTCTTTTTTTTCTTCGTCATACTTTTTTTGCGCTGCACCGACCGCGCGGATACCGGTTTTCGACGGAACGATACCATCTTACAGGAAGATCGAACTCGGTGAAAACCGTGTCCTTCGGAGAACAGGGTTGCGTTACGTCACGATCCGCGTGCGCGGATCTTTTTATATTGCCGTGAAATTCGGCTGAACACAGCCGCGATTCGACATGGACCGAGAGATGAACCGGTGAAATCCTCGAAGGAAATATATTTCCGCGCGAGAGCGAACTTGTCAAATATCCCCGGCCGAAAATAACGGCGAGTAAGTTTTCGGAAACGAGAGAGGATTATAATATATTCTTAGATTGATGAGAACGCAAATTTTCAAGTTGCAATTCGTTCTATTTCGAGTCGAAACACAATTGAGATTAGCGAGAAAAAAACGCAAATGCGCATTTATATTCATATTCAGCGAACATCACATTTATGTGATTGTTGCGCGCGCGCTGAATACGGAAAAACGTAATAATTGTTCGAAGAAATATGAATGTTTCAAGGATCAATATGCGAAATTTTATATTTTCGGCATTTCGCAATGTTGATGCGCGCAATCTTTTTTTTTTTGCCGATCTTTTGTCATACGTTTCCTTTTGTATACGTTTCGAAGATAGTGGAGCGCACGTAGAGAACTTTTTTTTTCGCGCGCACCAAAACTTGATACTCCAATCATAAATCTCCGATCTGTGCGTAGCCTTCGGCCGGCATATTTTATTTATTCTCGGGACATATACTTCCGGTATACGAGTTTTGCTCGAAATACTTCGCGAATAGACGAGACATTGAAATTCCTCTCACTGTCCTTATACACGTCAAGTATGATAAGATCTACTTTTTTATGCTAATTAAACTTTTTACTTGCCATCTACCTCCGTTTTTGCCACAGTTTTTAGTTTTTTTTTTTTGCACCTTTACTTATAATCGCGATTTCTTAATGTTGTCAACGCGGATAAAGCGCGTGAAAAAAGTTTCGCTTCACATATCGACAATCAGTTTTCTCTATTGTCATAGGTCATAGGTTAGGGTTAGGTAGATACCATCGCTATAGCCATATCATTGAAAAGTTGTAACGATTATTGATATTAAAAAAAAAAAAAAAAAAAAGAAAAAAACATTAACTCAACTATGAACATGGAAAACCAGTCCGGGAAAATTTTGCAAAACTAAATAAATAACAATAGTCGCCGATTCGTAACAAGCGCGGGGAGATCGACTTTCCGTCGAACAAGCGGAAACTCGCGGACGGGATTTTCCGAGAATTTTCCTTCACGGGTGTTCTAGAAGGAGAATCGCGGCGCGGCCGGTGCATTCGTTCGTGGCGGTGTGGGCAGTGCTACAGTCGTTCGTACCAGCACACACTCTGTGTGAGCGGTCGGCCATGGCATACTTACTAATGTCAATCACACCGGCAGGCATGCACCGCCGGCGTATATACGTGTTTGTATGTGCGCGTGGCGCGCGCGATACAGAATGTTCCGCGACGAACTCCGTTCGCGGATTCCTCGACTAGTTTTTTGGACCCATGGGTTTTCCTCCGTGCTGCGTTTTTTTTTTTGACGGATAAAAGAAAAGAAATGTACAATCTCTTCCCGCGTATATCCTTTGTACTTACTTGAATGTCGCGATAATTAAACAACATTAAAATTACAAAATTATAAAATTCGACACTTCGTCGAATTTGAATCTAACAAAAACCCGGAGAAAAGAAATTTAATTTTGTATTTATTCGTATTTGTTTGGTGCTTGAAAATTACGAAGATTATTGATAATTTAATATTTTTTTTTATTGTGTTACAAATCGAACAGAAATCGATAGAGTTAAATTCTGTGTCACCCGGACACCCTGTATAGAGCGCGCGCGAGCCGATGAAACTCGAATCCCCGCAGCCTTTTGGCCTTTAACCTCCCCCCTCTCCCCGTAATTTCCTCGATCATCGATATCTCGGGCAGGCAAAGAGAGAAGAGGAGAAGTTGCGTCAGCGTAGCTCTGAACTTGAGTACCCTTACGGCGCGCGCGAGGAATTGAAAGGCGTCCCTCTTTTTCTGTTCTCCGGGAACGGTGTCGACCGTGGTCGATAAAATAAAAACGGTGCCGCTGGCCGCGAGAGATCTCGCTGAAAAATTGTCGGTCATTATCTCTCCTCCGCACACACGCTCTCCGGGAATGTTCTCGATCTTGATTCACGATAAGACGACTAAGCGGTTACGCGGTGTCGCGTGGGTATACAATTATCGTTTGATTTACTTGTTAGTATTGCGGAATACTGCGCACGCGCGCGCGCGACTCTCGGTACGTCGGAAAAAGGAGAAAAAAAAAGAACAGATCGAGATTAATCTTCCAGCACGCAAACCCTGTAACTTTGTTTGCTCCTTTGTATTTAATTCAAATTACTAACGCGAAACATTGTGCGATAAATAAATGCCTCTGTTCGAATATTCTTGTACGCATTTTTGACGTCAAGACGCGGAGACGCGGCAAGTGACTAACCACCAAGTCGCAAGACGATGTGTGCGCGAGCGACGTTTGCGTAACGAGGTTTCCACGATTTTTTCACGACATTGTAGTGTAGAAAATTTATTGCACGTGATCGTGCAACGCGCGCTCGTTTGGCAGCTTCGTTAACGTCTTGATAATTGTCGGCGCGCGAAATTTATATACAGGTGTATATTTTAGTTGAGGATATATAAA